ACTTTCTGAATTCATGCTAGACATTCTGAATTAATTCTCAACTTTGTGGCAGTGAAATGTGATGTCATAAATAATGATTTCAAGTGCTAAACAGCAGGAGTCAATGAACTTCTACAAGATAATTTATGCAAATGTTCCTACCTCATTCCTATCAATTTAGTTTCCATGCAAAAATAGAACATGTCAACAGCTCTTTCAGCTTTCTCCTACTTCTAGAGGTTTTGATATCAATAATGGAGTCTCTTTAGGCATCATGATTGCATCATAGCTGAATCTGGCTCCTGATCTCTTAATATGTAAACTGTTGTTCAAATCCTGTAATCCCATGTTGAATTGCTGCTTAGATCCAGCAATTGCATCATTCTCATACGCACAAACAGTGAGTCTCTAGGGCTTCTGACTACTCTTCTCTTCACCCACAGTGCTGTAATAATGATATATTTAAATGAGCTGTCTGCCAAGTACAGGTTCTTAAAACAGATTAACAGTGTTGTTTGAAGGCAGTGGTAAGGTAGGAAGGCAAGAAAAATATTTAGGGAATGGCCTGCAAGAAGTACTGTGGGACTGAATGGCATTGTAAGACCTGCTACTCTGGGGATCTGGAAAAGCTCTTTTTCCACCTAAACACCTGCTCCAGGTTTTTCTGAGGACTGAGAGAAGACCCAGGCAAGAAAGGAAGTAGGATACTGGTACTCCTTTTAACTATGGGATTTTTATTCAGGAAAAATATAACTAAGTTATCAGAAGCCTGAATGAATCTGAGGTGTGGACAAGAAAGAAAGCAAGAGGAGAAAAACTCTGCACCTTGCAGTGGCCCAGTACACCTTCCTTCCCTGCTGATTTTTCAGCATTCCAGGCCAAAGGAAGGGGGAGCAGCCCCAGATATTCTGTGAAAGGTGTAGTGACTTCAGTTTTTATCGCGGCACAGCCTGATTCCAGGGAGCACACCGTGTGTGCAGCTCTTAATAACACCTGCTCCCTGACACAAGTGACTTTGTGGGTGGCTCTCTAACTGTTTATCCAGAGCACAGGTAAGGAAGGGGCTTCTAGGAAATTGTACTTTACTGGTGATTTGCACTCTGAGCACAAGCACAATATAGTGCCCTCCCCTTGTATTGTTGATGTAGCTGCTGCTTGTGACTATTTGTAAATATGTATGTGAGGTTTACTTAATTTCAGGTTAATTGCTTTGCAAACCATTCTGCAGTGTATTTATTATGCCAAGCTAACATTAGATTCTTTGGGGAATTTATATTGAAAAAGGTTGGGCACTTCCAGAGAGCACAGGTTTTTATTGAACAGAAAAATATTAAATAGGCCCAATTAGCTGAACAAATATGATCTCTGAAGCCATCACATTCAGGTAATCCCTCTTCTAGCAAGGTGAAAATCTGTCTTGTGTGCTTTTAATAAAGTCTTAGATATGGAAGTCAGTATTAGGACAGGTGAGGATGTGCTTTCGATTAGTTCTCCTATGAGTAGGAGATGACTTCTGATACTGTATTGCCATGGTGTCTCCATTATTTTTACTGTTAACTGTTATGCTCTTCTTTTTTTTTTTTTTTTAATTAAGCTGAGAGCTCTACATGTGTTCGCCTCAGGGGAGTTTTAGATTTTAAATCATTATAATTTACAGTTACTTGGATATTTAAGGTACACTTTGACATTTATGCAATCAAAGCTGTACTTGATGGTCTGTTGTAGTGAGTCTGATACAAAATTCTGATCTGTATGTGTGCAACTTGCTCCATGTGTATCTCTGGAACAGCACTGATTTCAGTAGCATAACTTGGATATAAAACCTGAAGAAAAAATTGTGCCATGGCTTTCAGGGCATCATCTTTGGATATCCCTTAATCATAGAAGCAGTAATCATAATAATAAAATCATAAAATCATAATCAGCAGTAATGTCATCTACCTTCAAAATCTTGACTCTTTCACGTTTCTTTGCTTTCCTCAAAATATATAAGGAGGCTTTTGTGCAGAACTGAAATCCATGCATGATTTATGCTTTCTAAGGGTGAAAAGTATTGAAGTTTGCTTTAAATGTTTGTAATTTAAAAACATTTAAAAGACAGTCTTGCTCATTATCAAATTAATGCATTCTAATTATACTGTATTCTATACTTCACTGGTTTGTAACAAATCAGCAGAATTCAAAGTTCACATGAACATGCCTGAGGCCATAGGCATTCTATTAAGTATCGTTCAATTGGTACAATTTGATAGAACATTCCACACTAACTGAATGAAATAGTAACTGCAACATTAACTTTTTTATCTTGTGTGGTGTGTAGACAGAAGCTGTCCTTGCTATGGCAAAGTTCTATGTTTTTGTTTCCCAGTAAGCAGCTATTCCCAGAAATGTTTTGTGTAAGAGTGTGTGCTCACTCATGTGGCATGTAGATGAGAGAATGACTGTGCGAGTCACGCATTTCTTACTTCAGAAAGTAACCTGTTGGTAATCTCCCCCCTGGTCCATTTGCAGTGTATTCTGTAGCCTCAGTACAGAGGTCTTAGTGTTTGCCAGATCCAGAACTGGCCCTGCTTGGGCAATGCTGTTATGGGAGAAAGAAGCTGCTTCCAAGTCTCAAAGGGCTCAAGGCGATTCTCTGTGAAGTCAGGAGATGGTTTCCTATTCACTGCACAGAGAATTAGAGCTTGTCCCATGAGACTTATTTGAGAACCTGCTTGGAAAGGAGGTCTCTTACTTCCTAGCTTTTCAATCACAATGTATCTGTCTTTTTCTTTCTGCTGCTGTTACAACTCTAGCACTTTGTGCAGTGCTCACAGGGAAACTTGAAAACTGTTTCACCTCCTAGGAATTAGCAGTAAAATTTATTAGTGCTTGTAGTAAGCACCATTTATGAGGAGTAGGAGGGCACTGTCAGTGTAACACAGCTTGTCTTGCGTACTGCAGTGCTCCTGTTGTTTTGACATTTCTCTAGAGAACTGAGGTGTTAAGAGATATCTAAAAGACACACACACACACTGATTTGGGAAAGGATGGAGAGGTTTCCGTGTGACCTGGTGTGTTGTCCTAGGGCGTAACATATGAAGACGTGATTAGCTACAAAAATTGCAGGTAATTAAGATACCTTTTCAACTGCACTCCTTATATTAAGGGTGCAAAGTAAAGGAAAAGTTTAAAAGACTTCTACAGCTCTCTGCCATCATGGGCATCTTTATCAGATAAATTTTTATCATCTTTGTAACTCGTGTGACCAGAATACAGTTAAACAAGATTCAGGTTACATGCCCAGAAGATGAGCAGAGCCTCAGCAATTGCTTGTGTTGCCTTTTCCCCTGGGATGACTTATAGCTGAGTTGCACAGTCACGTGTGGGTACTGCTTGTTCCTTCTCTTGTCTGCATGACATTGCTGTGTGAAATGCACAGTTAAACTAGTTTAGGTACACCATAGTCTGCCACTTGGGCCCCCAAAAGACTGTTCTGTTGTAAATGCTACCTTGAAAATTAGTAAACAATTGTACTTTTGCTTTTATACAAGATTTGTACTAAAAGACACCTAAACCTCATGGAAGTGGTTCTTAGTAAGGTGTACTCTTCAAAGGTGATGTATCAGAACTCAAGGTTTCTTCAAAACATTTATGAATGAAAGCGAACATGATCAGACATCTGACTGCGTAGTGCTTTTGTCGGAAGTGGTAATGTAGGAATGTTTTGGGGTTTGTGTGTCAGTGTAAAATGCTGCTGTTAAAGTTACAGTAGCCCAACTCTGGGCTACTGGAGAATGGAAGAAATTCAGAAATAGCATTGGGCATCTGGCCAGGGACTGAAGGAGCCACGTTCTAAGGGACAGGTGATACTAAGCACCTGCAAAACATGAATCTCACTTTAACTATTAAATACAAAGAGTAATAAACAACTTAAGGTATAATTAACCTACAAGGTAATGCAAAAAGTAATTTTAGTGAAGGGAAAAGAGCACATTTAACGTAGTTCAGTAGAATATTGTCATTGATCTTGCTTTTAAAATCTTGCTTTAAGTGAGTTTACAACATTTAGTCATGGAAAATACTGGTAGTTATCATAAACAGGTGACTTGGCAAGGTGAGCATAGCACTGAAATTCTGTTCTCAACAGGACAGAAAATCTTTAATAGAAAAAAGACTTGGTAAGACACCACCACCATCTCTGAAGGACTGTTTTCAAAAACATGTACTGTCCTTTTAAAAAAAACACCCAGATCAAAGCACTGGAGCTTCTAGCCAAATATAAGTCCTAGCCCAGGGAGTCAGGGAATGAAATAACAGAGGTGAAAAAATGCAGGTGTACAGTTATGGACACCTGCTTGAGCTGCTGCTTCTCAGCCCAGACAGACACAAAGATTCATTCCAGTTGTGCTCAGTAGATAATGAAAGTGGAACAGGTTTTGCTGTCCATACTGCGCTTTTTTTGCTTTGCTTTAGGGGTGGTCATGTTTTGATAGATGGTTTGTGATTCTGACTTTTCTTTATGCAGCTGGTTTTTTTTATCCTTTACCTGTATTCTGACTTGTTGCTTCTGCAAGCAGCATGCTGCTCTTCTGTCACTTCACTTGAGAGCATCCTGCACTGTGAAACTAGTGGATACCCCTCTGGTGATGTTTAAGGAAAACCTTAGAAAATATCAGAAAGCATAAGTAGATATGTAATGAGGAAATACATTTTAAAGTGCAGCTCCTTTTTCATCAAATCTGTAAGCCTTAAGGAACTAATGAGAATTTGGACATGCAGATATCACTGATAAATATTGCAATAAGTCAACTGAACTGTATTGTTTTTCTAGGGATTTTGTTGCTTTGTTTGTCTTTTCTATGTATGGAACTAGATCTAGCCACATGTAACTTAGGGCTTGAAGGATGCCTTAGTTTCCTGGAACTGCCCATGTGATATAAAAACCGCGATACTGAAGTGTGGTTTGTATAATTTCCTGGTTCACATGGCTGGTGCTGCATTGTTTTATTTGTGGTGGTTTTCTTTTCTTAAAAATTCAGGTATCCTTTCCTGTCCTGTGTGCAAACAGACCTGCTTTGCGAGGGATGTAGTTGAGAATTTCTTCCTCAAGGACTTTCCAACTGGTGATTCAGCTATGGCAAAGGTAAGTGAAAACCACTAAGTTGGTTGCCTTGTGTGTTGTTGAAACAGTACCAGATGAACACTGAAAACAGAGCAAATTTTGTTTTGGACAACAGACTCAACAGTTTGCTTATGCAGCACTGGAATTGCTTCACTACTAGAGATGGACATACCGACTTGATTGTACTTTTTAAATTTTAGTTGAAGAACCAGTTTTACTCTCTGTATTTCAAATAGCCAATTAAAAATACTGATCCTAGTGTATCTGTGATAAACAGTATATTAGGAAGATACTGAAAGTCCTGGATCCCTCATTGCCCTCTTCCTGCTCTCAACACAAAGTAAAAAAGTCACAGAATAGTCAGTGTTATAAGAGGCCTCTGGAGATCACCCAGTCCAACCTCCCCACAAAGGCAGGGTCACCTAGAGCAGGTGACACAGGAACATGTCCAGGTGGGTTTTGAATGTCTCAAGAGAGGGAGACTCCATGTACTTCCTGGGCAGCCTGTTCCAGTGCTCTGCCACCCTCAATGGAGAGAAGTTCTTCCTCATGTTGAGGTGCAACTTCTTGTGTTACAGTTTGTCCATTGCTCCTTGTTCTGTCACTGAGCATCACTGAAAAGAGTCTGACACCATCCCCTTGGCACCCCTTTGAGATATTTATGTGCATTAATGAGATCCCATCTCATGCTCAATTCCCACAGTCTCCCCTCCTATGAGAGATGCTCAAGATTCCTTGTCTTTGTGGCCTCCACTGGATCCTCTCTAGTAGCTTTTTGTCTCTCTTGAGCTGTGGAGACCAGAATTGAACACAGTACTCCAGATGTGGCCTCCCTGGAGCTGAGCAGAGGGGGAGGATCACCTCCTTGACCTGCTGGTCACAGCAACAGATTGTTGACTGAATGGTTACAACAATATTACCCATTAGATCGTGTGGGCAATTATAATTTTCTGATTGTCTGTTTTAACGGTAAGAAGAGTCACACTGCATTGCATTTTCCCATTGGGGAATGGATTCAAAGGGTAATCAGAAGACAAAGGATTACTACCTTGGCCTTGTATTGATACTTTACATAGATGGATTTCACTTCTCTTAAATATCCAGTTAACAGGCAGGACTATTCGTAATTGCCACTACTTTGGGTTGACAGGAGGGATGGAGAAAGCTGTGTATGTCTGCCCCCTACGTTACAAAACACTATTCTATTATTTGCATGAGTAAGATTGATTTCAGAATGTGATAGTACTACCTATAGCTGGGAGTTAAAACAGGTGAAAACTTGTCAAAATTACTCTGTAGCCTGCTGGCTGCATTATACAAAATGGGGTCCAAGGCAAGGGAAGAGAAACCAAGAAGCAGGGATAGAGGACTTCACTTTCTGCACCAACTCTTGGGCCTCAGTCTGTCTCTTTTGCACTTTTGATTCCTAAAGAAACTGGACAGCCATATTGGATATTCAGTTTCAGGCACTTTACAATTCCATAATGTAAGAAAGAGGATATGTCTTTCCACTCCTCTTAACCTCTGTAGAGGCAGCAACAATTTATAGATCAGTTCTGTCCTGTGCAGAAGGCCTGAGACCTATTTAAATTGAGCAAATGACTTTCCCAGTGACACGGTTGGAAAAAGTTCCAGAGGTGATGCACTTCTTCCCTGTCAGTCATTTCTGTGTTTCATTTTTTCTACTTTTAAAAAGTAAAGAATGTGCAACCTAATCCATGGAGTGTTCTGGGGAAATAAAGTCAATGCAATCAAAGTGTGTAGACATCCTCAGGTATAAGTTGCTTGTAGAGTACAACATCACTTGAACATCACTTGATCTAAAGCAAGAAGAGGTCTATTCACATGCGCTCTTCAAAAAGAAGAAGCAAATTTGTAAGATATTTCTGAATGTTTAAAATGCACTTACTACACTGGGATTTCTTAATTACTGTGACTCACATCATTTATTTTTCCATGAGAGTTTGTGTAGAAAGGAAATCAAATGAGAATATCTAATGTCTTCAAAACCATTAGAATATTTTTTTCAAACCATCTTTAAAAGAAGGTTTTTCTTTTCTGTAATCCCTTCGGAGTCCTAAGAGCTGTTCAGTAAAGCATATTTCTCACTGGAGCATATGAGTACCCTAGAGCAAATTGTGAACCTTCCTCACAGTTTTTGGCTTACTTTCTTTTTATTAACAGTCAAGTCATGTAGCTCGCTTGCTAACTGTCTTTAACCACTATCACCAGCCCCCAAATTAAAGCCATAGTTTCACCACTGGGGACATCAAAAGGAGAAGCACCAGGTCATCTAGCTGAGACAGCTGAACTGCCATCGTTCTCTTAATTTACCTAATATGTTCAAATGGGAATCTGTCAGGGCTTGTAACAAAGTGTTTGGAAGCAAGATGTCTCTCAGTGTGTGAGATAGTGAAGCATGAATGATAGAATGTGCTATGTGCCAGCAACAGGAGTTTCAAAAATACTCAATTCAGAATCTCTTGCCCAAAAGCCCATTTCCACTTCATAAATAATGTAACTCTGGAAACACTTTGCAACTCAAAAGTAACGTTAACACAGAACAGTGTCAATATAAATTCTAGTCAGATTGACAGCTGAACTGTTACAGGTAAACCTGTGTTTAAGCAGTTTTGGTTACTGCAGAGAAGGAAGAGTATCCCTCAACTTTTGGCCTGATCCCTAAGCTGGCCCTTGATGGGCCTACATTTTAAATTAGACACTTCTTTTTATATAACAAGCTTTGCTCCCAAGCATAAATAGCCTTGCATTTTGGTTATGTAAGTTTTATTAGACTTTTTTGGTTTAAATTATTACATGTACCTTTCAGAAAAACATGTCGATAAGCAAATGGCTAAAATAGCAGAATGGCTTGCACAGACAGTTCCCTCTCTAGACAATTAAACACATTTGAAATTTTGCTTTGTTGTCTTATTGTCAAGAATTGCCCAATCTGTTAGAAAAAGACTGTGAATATTTAGAAACTCTTGAACAGTGAGTTGATAAGAGACCTGTTGTGAAATTCCAGACCCACTGAAGGGAATGGTAAAGTTTAAATGAATTTTAGCAGAACAAGATTTTTCTTCTTGTGCTGAAGTGAATCAGAACTTCACTCACTCGTATCTCAGAATTTAGGTGGATATAGATGTTCCACTAAACGTTAAAGCTGTGATTTAAAACTAAGGCAACCAGCCAAGAACTGCGATTGTTCTCCCTTCAGGCTTTCTATTCCCTGAGACACCACAAAGAGAAACTCTTCCATTACACTGATCAGAACTTGCATCAGGGTTTACATGCTGAGTGCATGCTCAGTGTCCTTCTCTTCATGTTTCCTGTCAAATAACTGGGATGCAATCAGAACTGAATTGAAGATAAGCTGATGTCCAACAGAAAGGACACCTTAGGAAGCAATTTTGTCATCTATTATTATTTATTTCAGTAGCCCTAAGTAGTAGCAATATTGAAGAATTATCTATATGTACACTAGATATATTGTGACCCTGGAGGAAATGTTTCAGTTCCCCTAACTGATGGCCAAGCCTTTATGCTTTGATGACGGTAAAATTGCATCCCTATGCTCATTCTGCCCATTAGTACCTTTTTGTGGCAGTGGTAAGTCAAAAATATGAATATTGGGAGTTTTCAAAGATGATTTACGCCTAGTGCAAATCCTTTTTGAAAGAATTATCATTATCCTGATCTTGAAATTACTCTTGAGTTCCTTCTGAGTACCAAAGGTCAAATTACCCACTTCATTCATGTGTTGCTTTATTCCTTTCCCCTTTAGTGACATATCCAGGCAGCATGGCCTATATAACAAAGGGCATTGCCTAAACTGTTCAATCAATAGAGACAAGAGTTAAATAAGGTTTTCAGTTCTTCTAAGGTTCCTGTGTCTTATGTTTCCAGTTCACCACGTATTGTAGATAATGTTTAATATTATATTTATATATAATATTATATATTTATACCTTGATATCACTATCAAGATATAAATTAAGCTCATTTCCAGTCAGCTCTTCAGATAACAGGAACTAAGTTTATCATTAATAGTATGTAGGTATCCCTACACTGTTTTCTAAATTGTCTTACCATTAGGATGCTTTATGTATTTTTCTTACAGTTGTGCTGTATCAGAGTGGTTTGTACAATGCTAAAGCAAATAGAGTAAGCTCTAATTTTAAATAAAGCAGTATAGATTTAGAGTAGCTCTGCTGACATAGCTCCAATTTACTTTCATATGCATGAAAGCAGAAATAGCCAACTTTTTTTTTTTTTTAGTTCCTTAATAAATAATTAGTAACAAACAAATTAATGCATGACACTAAAACGATCTGGTAAAATGCTTCTGCATAATGCTATGATTAGAAAGGAAATGGCAGTTAGATTAAAAAACTTTTTGATGGCGTTTCTAACATTTCACATAATTACTGGGCAACCTAGACTGTCTTTTCTGAGGTGGAAAATATCTGTATCTATCTATGTAAATATATTTATGCATATACATATATAAAAGTAAGATCTACACTCATTTGATGTGTTAAAGCCATCAGTAAGTACTACAGCATTAACAGAAATGGACAGAGCATGCCTCTCATTTTCAGAGTGACTTTTAACCTACCTCTCCTTAACTTAAATCAAACAAGTCTTATTTCATAGTTTCATTGCTTCTTCAGTTCACAAGAAATAAGTTGTTGTGATTATTTTTCCTGACTTCATGTATAACATGGACCCTAGAATTTTGCTGAATAACTCTTTCATCATGTCATAATTATGTTTGATCGTGCTAAAGCACTGAAAGACAACCAATTTTATTTGAAAGCTTCAAGTCCTAATTTTTTTCTGCCATAACCAGACTCTTAAGATAACTTGAATTGCATTAGTCTGAGAACAGAAAATACTAAGCCTACCAATCTGAATCATGGTCTACTAAAAACAAGTTTGTACCGTTAATTTATTATCCGTGTATGTAATTGCACTTTTTGTTCTTAGAGCTGCTCCATGTGTAAAGAGAAGAGACCTGCTCACAGTCTCTGTACCAGATGCAATAAGTGGCTGTGCAGCTCATGCACAGAGGAGCACAGACATGGCAAGGAAACTGGAGACCGCTTCCTGCCTGTATCCCTGAAAGGCTGCACAGGTACCCAACACACCCTGAAATATCATTTCTTCTCATATCAGTTATTCAGTTGAAAAAGGAGTAGCTGCAGGCTCTGTGCCACAGACACCATGCCCTGGCTGTGTGACTCAGAAGGTGATGTACCTGTCAATGGGAGATTATGTGATTTTTCTCCAGCTTTGAGGCTATTGCCACAATCAGCATTCCACAGTATTAGAAACAGTTTGGACATTTGTGTTTCACAGATATGATCTTCTCCAGATGCCTTTCCAATATGTGGAGTGAGAAAGGCTACAACAGCAACAGGCCTTGCCCTTTTAGTATTTCTGTCCTCCTTTGGGTAACTTCATTCAGAAAACTACGATAAAGCAATTCCTGTGTATGTGGGCAAGGTGTGTGAGGGAGTCACAGACAGCAAAAGGCTGTGATCACTGCAAGATGTTCCTTTTCTAAGTCTGGAGGGAAAAGCATGTGTCCTGAGTGTATTTTGCCATGAGCAAGCACAAGTGAAGCCCACTGGCAAATATGTCTTATCCCTATACAATGATGATCCACAGGAAGTATTACCATCTCCTCTTACTGCTCATTATTTACTTTATTCATATGCCAGAAATCTGCTGTGGAGTATCCTAACCTAAACTTATGTAAGCAGTCTGTAACCTAAAATAAGAATTTTTCAATTTTATACAGTGGTTTTATTTTACACTTTGCTCAGATATGAATTTGTTCGTGCTAGAGAGTTTGTGCTGCACTCTCATTTTTCTTCATAGGGAAGACGAAGGACAGAAAAAGGAATAAATATAGCCCACTAATTATACTTTTTATTTCATTTTTTTTCTCCAGTATTTTTCTTGTAGAAACTTGTACTTTGTACTTGCTATAGATGGAGTTCTTTTAAGTAGTGGGTGGCCATATCAGACAGAGTTTGAGGCACTTGAGGCATGATGTGCCTTTGCCAAATAGGGTGTAAACAAAAAAAAAGTCCATAAAAATGGTAGTAATAAAAAAGCACAGACTACATTTAAATGGTTTTTGGGTCTTTTCTAGAGAATAACATAAACTGAAGTCCCCCCAGTCCCCTCTCAAATGCCCTGATTGGATGGACAATATGTTTTTCTTCTTGAGTTGATGACAAGATAAGGACTGTGGTTTTGAGGCTCCAACTGTTTATAATTTCATTTCACTTTAAGTAAGATTACCAGCTCATATTGTTGACAAATACTGGTAAGAAAATACACATGTGACTTAGTTGTGGGTTTGTGTGTGCTATGTCAATAAAAAGATGCAAAAACATAAGATGAGAAAGAGTTTAGCACTAACCTAAAATTCTATGTGCTGAAAAAAAACCCCATGAACAAGGAGATTGTTAGTGCACATATAGGCTAGTTAATATAAAAAAATATTTGGAATGTAATATTATTATATATTTTATTTATTTAGGACATAGATATCCCCACACGATAGTGCAAAGAAAGCAAATACTTGAACTCAGACTGTTGGTTTTGGGTTTTTCTTTGGTCTTCTGGAAATAAAGCATGAATCTCTGCTTTGAGATTCAATTGCCATCTTCAGTCTGTGTATTCAGCGCTTCTAAACAAGTCACCTTCTTTGTAAGCCCTTGTAAGAATTAAGAGGTCTTACACCTTTAAATTGTTCTGTGTTTTACCATTTGCTTTATAAAGGCCAGACCTTCTTTTGTCATCTGAAAAGTGTAAGATATCATGGGTCTGAAATGAAGTAAAGTAGGAAAAACCCCTCACTAATCCTCCCTATTTCTACTAATTTTGATAAACAATTTCTTCTTGGAGTGACAGAACCAGAGGAGCCTGGCTTCCCTGGGAAACCTTTCTGCTTCTTCATGTCATCTGTGCTCAGTGTAACACATCTGATCACCCCCTGCCATGCAGAGCCTGCAGCCCTCTGACAGAATTCCCCTTCCAGTGACACTGCACATCCTCTTGCTTCCTTCCTGGGCCATCCACTGCTTGCTGAATGAGACCCAGATCACACAGCTGAATGGCTGAGTTGGATGCCTGGCAGTATCCTTAGCCTGGTGACTCCTGAGGCCATGGTGCGTAGCAGTGTGCCAAATTCATCCAATTTTTGAGAATTTACTCATCATTCAAATTTGTGTTTAGGTGCTAAGGGCATGGGGAGAGGCAGGACTGAGCTGGGCTACAAAAATGCCATATTTTATAAGAGGAAAACGATTTTAAAGTAACCCGATTTCATTTTTTCGACTGACTCATCCTTTGTGAGTCGAAATAAAGGCCCACAAAATGATTACTGTCGGTAAGGGATTCCCTGAGAGGGCTTCTTTGTATTGGAAATGGCTGCTTTCCTTTTGGAAACAGCTTTATGAGAAAACTTTATTTCAATCACTTTCATAGCCTTTTGGTAGTTTGGAGGTGGGGATGTGTGCATGTGCTAGTTAGAGTTCATTGTTTTGAATGTGCTTCTTGAGAACTGGATTGAAAAGTTGTAAGAGTGTTCTGTGTCCCAGCTGGTTAGCTAAAAGTGTTACTGAACTTCTACAAAATTTTTTAAGCATAAACCCAGAAATATAGCACACACTGGACAGTACTGTGATTCCCATCTCCCCTACCTCCACCCCCCCAGTTTGCCATTATCATTTATATGTTGTATAGTTGCTCTACTGTATTGTTAGCTGAACCACTTCTAGAGGTACTGTCAAAAATTGCAGTTCTCTTTTGAGTGCCAGGCAATTACTGCTGGTTATGAACATGAAGAGATGGTGAGAGGTGATTCACAGATGAGTCAAAACAGCTACTTGCTGTTTTTAACACACGCTGATGTTTCCTGAGAGTTAGGGAAAAACTGAAAACAAACAACCCCTCTCCAAAAACAAACAAACGACCCTGAAAACTTTGTGACCACAAGATGTCAAAATTTTGAAATCTGCCTCTGGAATGAATTTGATGAGCACTGGAGAGATAGATGCTGGCATCATGGGCCAAAGCTTTATGACTGATCAAGCAGCAGTCTTGGGGGAATAATCTCTGCAGAATGAGCACTTCACTGGAGGGCTCTTTATTAACACTAGGAGTAAGTTAACTTAGTTAAGTTCAAAGTTCTTCAGAATTCTTGAACTGCTTAAAGTCACAAAACTAGAAGCTCCCTTAGTCCCAACTTTCTCAAAAGAACGTTAGGTATTAGTGCAGACTCTTTCCTTGTGTTACGGAAATTCGTGGTTTGCAATTGAGAAGAAACAATCCTTTTGTCAAAACTGTATTAGGAGTAAATGATCTGGTACTGACGTATCAGCTATTTACAGGCTAGTGCACAAATTTGCTCTTTGCTATACTCTCCTTTTCTTTCAGTCTCTCAAGGTTAAGTATGAACCTATAAAATCAAAGTTTGAGCCACTGTGATTTATGCTGGGAGGGAGAACTCTATTTGCTAAGATGTGATTGCTTTTCCAAAGTTGACATGAACTGGTTGGAGGAACAGAGATTTAAAACTTTCTGTTAATTATTCAAGAGATACACCTGAGATAAAGAAAATATAGGCTGGAGAAAATGGTGACTCAAAGGATGAATTATCAGAATTTAGGGCAACTGAGTTTTCCCTTTTCATTAAATGAGGTTCTTATCAAGAAGCTGACATGGATAGTTGTGGTCAAGGTATGTGTTTCTAGAAAAAAACAAGCTTTTGCCCTTGTTTAGCACCTGATTTCTAAGTATTAAACTTATTTTTAAACTGAAGAGTGTTGCTGTGAGATGAGTGTAAAGTAGGTCAAGAATACCACAGCTCAGTGGCAGTTCTCACTGACATGTCAATTGAGTCAGGGGATTACTCGTGGCAGAGGATGTGGGTCTGTGTTGTAGTTAGATAACACTGATTTTACCCTTAGCTTGCATTTGGAATCTGCCTGTCTCTTAAATCTGACATGGTAATAAAAAGACCCACTGATTTCTCTGGGTTGATTACAATCACCAAAGGGTAAAGAACCCTTTGCAGAGAGAAAAATGGAATAATCATTATATAAGATCGTGACTAGGCTTTGTTATACACAGACCTTAAAGACAGTATCTCATAAGCTGGAGTTTAATATGGCTAATTTTATCAAGAGTTTTCAGAAAAACAGCTTGTATGCTTTGTGGATGCTGAACACTTTGAGAGGCTTTTCCAGCCCATGAATCTTGAGACAGTTATTATGATCTTTTTATTTTCCTTTTAAGATGAAAAATCTGACCCTATAAAGGAGGAAAAGAGGATGTTTGACATCCACATTGACTACATATTGGTTATACAACCTGCTTGTTACATATTATTTGCATTGGCAGCTGCAGGTTTTAATACAAAAGTACATATTTGCAATATAATCAGAAAAAAAAATTGCTATGGAGGTCAGTTTGGTTTATACCTTACTAGAACAAAATATTGGAACAGGCTAAAAAAAGCCTAATCTAATTTCCTCTTTTAATAATGCTATCTATTAGCATTTGATTTAATAATTATATAAACCAGTAAACTTCCCTGAAGAATAAAGCATGATACTGCAGTAAATAATTCATAACAATGTAAACTATGTAATGCTGTTACATAAAATCTCAGCCTAATCTGCCACAAATTATCTTCTTGCACGTTGTTAAGGAGGCACAAGGAAAGTCAATAGAACTGGAGGAAGTAAATCAACCTTCTTAGAAATATTTAGAGTAGAGAGCAATCTAAAAACTTGGCAATTTGATATGTTGTTTTAGAGCGTGGCATGGGTTTTCTCCCTATTTTCATTCTCATTGTCAGCCATCAGGTTTTCGTAGCCTTTCTACTTCTCTGTTGTGACTTCGCTGTCACTTCTTCCAGTTTGAAGTGACTGAGTCAGTACAGCTTGTTGTACGCTGTGGGTCTGTTATTGCAGCATTATCACTTCAAAAGTTTGATTCTATGAAAGGCTTCATTTTGCTACAGGATGAGAGGATGGTCTATGAGCAAATAATGATATATAAATAGATATTTTTGTATAATTTAAAGTTTTTATCAATATTTGTTCTCTAATAAGGATTGTATTATTTAATTTCTCATGTGTTGATAAGGAATAATGGGATAGTGTCTTTGCTGGAGTACTCTGAGGGTGCAATCTTGATTTTTCTTGTTGTCCTTGTATATATCCCAATGTGCTAATAATGCTGATGGTTCTGTGGACATGAGATTTGAACACTGAACTGTATAAATCTGTCACTGTACCTGAGCTTGAGGGTTTTGATCATTTTAAGAAAAAAATATTTTTCACCAGTAATAATGATGGGCTATCCTTACACTCATTAATAAAATTATGCTCTGGAATCTCTGCTTTTTGGGTCCAAGAAAAGAACTTTTGCCTTAACTGTTAATGTAGATGTACTTGTGAATGTCTAATTTCAGTGGTAAGAATTCGTTTTGCCATAGTTTAGCTTTCCTTTTTTTTCTTTTTTCTTTTTTTTTTTTTTTTTTCTGGTATTCTTGACAGTACTCCTTCTTTCTAAAACAATTCTACCCTACAGGAAAGAAGACAAGAGTAGATTGTACAGAAGCAATGCTTCCACTTTGCATATCCACTGTCCATTCTTACTCTTCATCACGTTACTCTTAAGAAACTCCTTTTTAAAACAGATTTTAGGACCTACTATCAGCCCTAGCTGCTGAACGTTATGAACTGCATTGCAACAAACACAAATTTGAGAAACAGTTGCTCATGTGACTTCTTAAGAGCAAAAATTTTCCTTGCTTCTGCTGTGACTGCAGGTTTATGTAATATGTTTGTTATTCTACATTTTACAGTACAGTTTTGCTGAGTGGTTTGCCAGACCAGTGCATTCAAAGTTGTGAGGCAAGGGCACCAAATCATGAGAAATACTTAAAACTCGTGAGAGTTTAGAAGACAATATGAATTAGGTTTGATGCCTTTTTTTTCTGACCCCCCTCTGATGTTTATAGGATGTATAAGGCCAGGAAAAAATATAAACAATCCCTGCTTCATATAATCAGATGATTCTAGTTCTGAACCTTTTAAAAATATCATCAAGACTTTCCATAAAACTGTGAATTTGGTTACTCTTTTTCCTAACTCTAATGGTAATCCTTACCAATGGCATCCTTGTTTTATTTATTTCCCTCAGCAGCTGAAGATGAAGAAAGTGAGATTCCCTTATTTTGTCCAGTGCACACTCAAGAGCCACTCAAGCTGTTCTGTGAGACCTGTGACACCCTTACCTGCCGCAGCTGCCTTCTGGCAGAGCACAAGGAACACAGGTACCACACACTCATTGCTTAATCATAATCAAGGCTAAAACTGTAGCTAATTGATATCTAAGACTTTCCATCTGCATTTGCTGTCAGCTGATGTTGCAGGCTGGTCTGAACTTGAAAGCCACAGCAAATTTAGTTCAGGTGGTGTAGCACGTGGCTCGCTGCCCTCACAGAGGCACTCCCTGTTGCCTGCAGTGTGTACCTTCCCAGCTGGACTGTCTGCCCAGGTGTTATGTAGGCAGAGAGTTTCTCGTGACTGTGCTCAAAGGCACAAGTTAAACTCAGTTCTGAGCACGGTTCAAATATTTATGTTTGTCTCTAGTGAAGACTTCATGACTGTACACGACCAGAGTTACCAATTCTCAAGCATGCTACTTGCCCGTGGAAGTGTGTGAGCCGTGTAGGCAATTGTTTTTGGACAAGGTCACGTTTGGTGATGTGAACCTGCCTTTATGAGGTTTGATAAAGTTCAGCTGTCAGAGAGAGCACCTGTAGTAGAAAAGAAGCAGGGCATCATGACCAGACAGGTATTAAGGCAGCTGGTCCCCTAAACTCATCAACTGATAGGTTGTTTATTTATGAACATGGAAAAACATTGTGTGAGAATTTCCCCTTCTTTTGCAGGTTCAGACATCTTGACGAAGCTCTGCAAAACCAGAGAGTTATTCTGGAAAATGTCGTAACTAAAGTGGAAGAGAAAAAAAATGGGATTCAGGTTTCAGCTAAACAGATTGAAGACAGGTAATTGCTATGCATTTTTTTTTCCCATGAAAGTGAGTGATATGCAAAAAATATTATTTTTACTAAATGTAGGTTAACAGAATTAAATGCAGCTGCTGTATTTTCCTTCTTGGAGGGTAGGAAATAATAGAAAGATTAAAAATATAAAATTCATTTTTAAGTGGTGCTGACAAGTCGTGGCATTGTAATACATGATTCCGTAGTCTTTATAAAGCATGTGACAGCTGACTTCAGAGATAAGATTTTTTTGTATAATCTGTTTCTGAACTAGAATTGGAAAATATTAGGAATAAAGATAATTTTTAAAATACCTTATTTGTTAAAGAAACCTCAAAACAAGCTGCAATTGTAGTCAAGACTAATACAAAAAATGAAAATATTTAATTATCTGAACTGGATTTCAGCTACTGGTTATGGAGTTAGTAGCTGTTGGATCTCTCTTTGGCATTTAAGATACCGTTTCAAACACCTTCAAAGAGTACAAATCTATTTGTACTATTTACACTCTAGTATAAAGTGAAAGTCTTTTGGATGCATTCTGTGTGTATTTGTTGACAAAGAACTTAAAACTGTTCTTGGCATGATGTTTGCATGAATCAGTCAGCATAAGCATGTCACATCCAGAGAGCAGTGGTCGAGGTTCAGTGTCCAGATGGAGACTGGAGACAATTGGTGTCCCTCAGGGGTCCAAATTGGAATCAGTACTGTCTAATAAATATCCAGCTTCTCATCCACCAGCACTCTCAAGTCCTTTTTCAGGGCTGTCCTCAATCTCTTCATGCCCCATCCTGCATCAGTGACATAGACAGTGGGGTCAAGTGCACCCTCAGCAAGTTTGCAGCTACTCCAAGCTGAGTAGTGCAGTTGACATGCCCGGAGGATGGGAGGCCATCCAGAGGGACCTGGACAAGCTCAAGTGGGCCCCTGTGAACCTCCTGAGGTTCAACACGATCAAGTGCAATGCACTGCACCTGGGTCACGGCAACTCCTGGTATCAAGACAGGTTGGGGCATGAAGAGATTGAGGACAGCCCTGAAAAAGGACTTGGGAGTACTGGTGGATGAAAAGCTGGGTATTCATTGGCAATGTGGGCTTGCAGCCCAGAAAAACAGTTTTATCCTGGACTGCATCAAGAGCAACATTGCCAGCAGGTTGAGGGAGGTGATTCCGTCCCTCTACTCCACGCTGGTGAGATTTCACCTGGAGTACTGCATCCACCTCTGGAGTCCTCAGCACCAGAAACACATAGAACTGTTACAGCAGTTCCAGAGAAATGCCACAAAGATGATCAGAGGGATGGAAAACCTATGAGGATGTGCTGAGAGAGCTGGGGTTGTCCAGCCTGGAGGAGGGAAGGCTTTATGGAGACCTTATTGTGGTCTGTCAATACTTAGAAACAGTTTCTAAGAAAGATGGGGGACAGACTTTTTAGTAGGGCCTCTTGTAATAGGACAAGGGTTAATGGTTTTGAACTGAAAGTACACTTGATAGAAGGAGAAAAAGTTTTTTGATGAGGGCGGTAAAACCGGTTTCCCAGAGGGGTAGGGGATGCCTCACTCCTGGAAACATTCAAGGCCAGGTTGGATGGGGCTTTCAGCAAGCTGATCTAGTTGAAGATGTCCCTGGTCATTGCAGGGGGTTTGAACTAGAAGACCTTTGAAGTTCTCTTCCAACCCAAAAGATTCTATAATTCTGTGTTTAAGAGAAGTGGGAGAGGACTAATGGGAAATGATACAACTCGCATTGGAGTTCCATTAACAGTTAGATCAGTTCTTGTAACAAATAACTACCAAGCTGTGAATAAATGACATACCAGTTGGCTCATTCAGGGATGTGTATCTCTTACCCATAGGTTGCTTGAAGTAAAACACTTGTACAAAAAAGTAGAAAACCAAATAAAAATGGCCAAGATGGTTCTGATGAATGAAATTGATAAACGAACAAATATCCTTCTTGAGCAACTTGAAGTAAGTAAGGCTAGTTTACTTGATACCTTGGGAAATTAAACTAAATTAAATTTAATCCCAGTGCCAATGGAAAGAATATAGGCTGTGAGAGCTATTGCCCCTTTGCTTATATTTTCAAATATTTCTTTTCTTTTTTTTTTTTTTTCCCCTGCAGAATTTTATGTAGAATCAATGGTTGACAAAGATTCAGGGCGAAGTGGCAAAATGTTTGCATGAGTCAATCACATTTTCTAATGCATTTACAGAGAATACGTGTGCACCTTTTGAGTACCTACAAAACAAATCAGCTTCTGGTTCTAATGTTTAACTTGTAGAAGCCCAACAGCAGCGCAATTAATAACCTGTTTCAAAAATGATTCTTTGGTCTGCTTTCTGCAACAGACCCTGCAGTTTTGACTCTTCAATTTTTGGATGTCCAGTTGAAGTATATATGATTTGATTTTGAAATGTGCTGAGCACAGAAATTGCTGATCAGAGTTTCCAGTTCTTGATTATTCTTGGGTCATTTTAGCAGGTACTGGAAAGACAAGGCACTCAGCATGGGCTGGCTACCTTGGAACTTACGTATTTTTATTCAGCTGTGATTACTCAGCTAAGTAGCTTTGCGAAAAAAAGAGAAATGTATGTTATCATTTCTATCTTTATAAGCACTAAGTAAATTCGGTGTTCATGTGTTTTGACAACATCTCAGTGTTTGCCTGAGTTATCTACAACCACTACTGAGCTGTGTATGCACTTGCAGTGCTTGGTTGAAGTGCATTGTGGGGGCATTGAATGGAATTGGCAGGTGTGAGGTTCGAATCAGACAAGGGCAGGGAGTTCTTCACATTAATGGTAAATCAGTGTGAAATTCCAAGTAGCAATATACTGTGCATGGGCTCAAAAGGGATTAGACAAATTCACAGAAAAATACGCCAGGGCTGATAACGTAGGCTCTGTGTTTGTGGTCCTTAAATCATGGAGACTGCAAGACTGTTCTGAGGAAATGGTGCATGCTTCCACTCTTACATTCTTTCTTGAATCTCTGCTGTTGTGTATTGTAAGAGTAAAAAAAGTGTTCCAGGTGCAATTTTGATCCAACTTCTAAAGCTTTCTTGTGTTGCATTAATCTGTTAAACCAAGGCCAGAATAATGCAAATTGTTTGCTCCTGGGGAAGTCATTGCTCTTCCTGAATAGGATTTGCTTTCTTTTTATGATCGGTGGTTTAAAAAGATTCTAAACAAGGGTATTGCTGCAAATAATGCATAACACAGTGCCAGTGATTGTATGCAATACGATGTCTGAAGAATGACAGCTGTCTTCTACTGATTCACATTATTAACAGAAAATCACCAGTGAAAGGAAGCAGAAACTGGAGCAACAACTGCAAGGTGTTGTGGTTTTAGGCAGACAGGTAGAACATGTTCAGAACTTCATCAGCTGGGCAGTGTGCAGTAAAAGCAGCATCCCATTTCTCTTCAGTAAAGAACTGGTAAGAGCAATAATTGTTTTGTGATAATCGTAAGAACTGTTTTAAGGACTTTGTGTTTCTCAAATAATACATTTTTCATGATCTTATAATTGTGAATAAAATCATCATCCTTTGATTTGTCACCAGATTGTATTTCAGATCCAGCGCTTGTTAGAGACAAACTGTAACACAGACGTAGGCCCTCCTCTGAAGATCAGATTTGCCTGGGATCCTTCCTACTGGACTAAACAACTATCCAATATGGGTAAGAAAAATATATTAGGCAAGTGCCCAAAGCTACACTACACAGATGTAGACAATACAGTACTTTCCCTAAAGGGCTCTCCTTTTTTTGTTTTGACATCCAGTTTTGAAACTCTTGTCATGTTCTCGAGGAAAGCTAGTGTAGCTGAGCTTTTTCCCTCATTATATCAATTCACCTATTAGAAGACATCATTTAGGTGTCAGATTTTAGTATCTTAGTGGCCAAGGGACCTGAGAATTACTGAGACACTTACAGTTAATGGGCACAAAGATGACTTTAGGGCACTGACAGCATAATAATTACAGTGTTATTTACATAACAAATGTGCTTGCTGTGACTTTGTTTCCCAACTGCTGTGGGTTTTTACAGTAAATTCAGTTCAGTAGACTGATCAATGATCTAAAAGATCTGTTCTCTTCCCATTTTAAGATAGTAAAAACTAAATGGGGTAAAACACTATCAAAAATGTTGAAAGGAGTAATCTTCTCTTGACTAAAAGTATGGACAAGATCATTTCATAGGTCACTTCTATTTCTAGCTTTTATGAGTCCCACCTATGCAACATCAATCTCTTGTTTTTGTCACTTTCACCCTGGAAGCTGCCTTATTTACCTGTGTTTATGGATGAGAGGATAAGCTCATCCTTCAGTAAAAAAATGAAAGTATGAGCCATATTCATCATTTAAGGTAAAATAAGGTCAATTTTTCAAAGTGTTTGCTGGGTAATTCAACCATGAGTTCCACTGACATCAGTGGGAGTTTGCTATGATTTGAAATCACTGAAAAATATTGAAAGATTTGTCTTGAATGTATGTTGGCAGACTGTTTAGAAAGGATATTTTAATATCTCTTATATGTGAAGTGTGAATGATGGTCATTTCCTTGTCTCCAATTTTTATTGTGTAAAGACCATAGGAGAGAGTAAATTTGCTGTTTTTTCCAGGAGGTTTCACAATGGAAGGTGGACACATTTCTCACTCAGATATGTTACTCTGTGGAAATGTTCAAGGGTTCCAAACCTCTCTGTATCATGGGCACCATTCATCAGCACCACAGCTGGAGCCTGTGAATAACCAGGCACATCCGTTTCCACCTGCAGTTCAGTGTTCTGCACCCGTGTGTTGCTCACACTGCCTCAGCATTCCACACCCAAACAAGGCTCAACCTCCTTACCAAGACGTAAACCACCACAAAAATTTTCGGCAAGCTCCCGAAATGCACCAGCAGCACTTTCCTCTGCAGTACAACCTGCAGCAGCAGCAACACGACAAAGAGCAAAGGGGTGCCCCCCAGCCTGTGAAGCTGACACCGCCTGGGCTGGAACAGCAGTCACAGTCAGAGCTGGAGAATGCATCTGGGAGGATGGGGAAGCACTTACCACCCCAGCAGCTGCAGCAAACTGCACCCCTGGGTTATGCTGTTGCATCACACGAAGCCCAGCAAGTTCACCCGAGCCATCCGCAGCCGTTCCGCACTCAGGCTCCTCTGCAGACAGCGGCTGGGCAAGTGCAACTCGGTCACCTCCAGAAGATAAAATCCAACCCCTTGCTGCAGCCACCCCCACAGCAGCAGCAGCTGCCTCTACCATCACCGTCACCACCATCAGGTCAGAGTGAGAGCACTCACAAGCAAGTCATCCAACAGAGCCTGGACATCATGCACCACCAGTTTGAACTGGAAGAGATGAAAAAGGATCTGGAACTTCTTCTGCAGGCCCAGGGACAGTCCAGCTTGCAGCTGAATCAAGCCAAACCACCTCAGCACGTTCAACAGACCATAGTTGGTCAAATCAACTACATAGTAAGGCAGCCAGCCCCAGCACAGCAACAGAGCCAGGATGAAGCACATGTAAGTTCTCTAAAAATTTTCCTATTGTGTTTAGTCAAAGTAAGCTCAGAAATGGGAGATACCGTTGAGATTTCTTGTATTTCTTTGAACTTTCTATTTTTGTCTTGTCTATGTATGCAGCAGAGGCTTTACACCTCATGCAGATCAGGCCAAAAGTTTCTGTAAAGTGCTGCATAAAGAATCTGCATCCCAAAGATCTGAAACTCTAAATAGGCATGGTAAGCAGCATAGGGGAGAATAAAAGCACCATCATTCCTCCTTACATCCTAGTAAACAGGAAACTGCAGGACTGCAGTACTCTCACTCTCCATTTCAACTCTTTTTTACTGGAAACATGAAGCCTGGAGTCCTTAAAAAATATTCCATTCTGAATTATTATTGAACAGAGTGAAGATGACTATTTTTTGGTCTGATAAAGCTTTATTGACTTTTTTTTGTTTTAATAGTTTGTTAAGGTTTGAGAGATCTTTCTTTATTCTCTACTTGGGGTTACCTCAAACATCTCTGTTGTTTTAGAGTCTTTTTGGGCTTGTCATAATGTGTATGCTGTGAATTGATGCAAATTTATTGCCACTTTTCTTTCTAAGATGTTGAAAATGCAAATTCTTAATTGTGATTTGCAGGTCTCTGAGAGCTTTACAGAACCTGATGCCCAGAAGCCTGTCATTCCTCTTGACAAAAGGGATAGTCCCTCCCTGTCACAGCCACTAGATGAAGAAGCCAGTGTCAGCAGTCACTCCCCTGCAAGCACACTCCAGCAATCAGCTTTCCATCCAGTCAGAAAGGTATAAAGAACTTTTTTTAAAAAAACAAAATTTAAAGAGAAAACATTATTTGATAATATTGAATATAATTGGGCATTTGCAATCAGGTGGAAAAAAATTAAAATACAGTAGAAGCCAACAAAATGGCTTGTAAATTTTGGAAGACATTCACTGCCTAACTTTGTGTGCATATCCCAGTAAGGTACCTACACACTGGGCCGTAGCTAGGAACAGCAAGTCTTTTATAAGCTGGTAGTGTTTAGGTCTGGCTGGCATGATTGTTAAACATGAGCTGGTAAATAAATACAACCTCTATTTCTTCACTGCTTAAATTCTGTCCAGCCCATATCTCTAGGGATTCAACTATTAGGACTTGTTAATTAGCATAGTAGCAGCAGTTAATTTAGAGGGGGGGAAAAAAAAAAGTCAGAGATGCTGATGAAATCACGCTTGAGAAACACTCTTCAAAATACTTGCCCTGGAAGTAACAATACTAATTATTCCTGAAGGTGTGGTGTCTGAAAGGGATATAATTCCACTGTATTTCTTCTGTTTGTCTGTATATAAGCAGAAAAATCATAGTTCTTTTCTCTAGAATATTTTAGTACATAATAGAGTCAGCTTTGATCCTTCCACCAGCTGTGAGGCCCTGACTATTGAAGAAGCAGCATGAACAAAACCAGGAGGGCTAATCCTTATCAGTAGATCCTTGCTGGCTCCGAGTATCACCTGTGCATTTGAAAGAGAGAAGCTGCCTTTTACTTCTCTGTACAGTTTGTTTAGAACACTCCAAACAGCACATTATATTCTGGTTGCTCAAATCTGTTTGTTACTTCTGTGCATGACTCATCTTGTGTTCCATGTAGAAGTCTTTCATGGATATTTTTGCTTGGAATTTGTGTGTGGAATATTGTGGAAGTATTTTTCTTTCCTTACTAGTCTCAAGAAGGAGATTATTTTTCCTTCTTTAGTATGGAACTTTGTTAACATATTTATGATGCAATACCCACTCAGAGAATTGTTGGAGATCCCTCTGGGAGTTGAAGAGACATGGAAAGGTGAGGGCCTGAAAGCAGCATGCAAATCAAATTTGAAAGCCACAAAGAAATCTGCAATTTTTAACTTAATCCTGTAAATGTGATGGAATTTCTGGATCAGGCTGATAGTGTCACAGCGTTCTGAGATGATGCTCTTTGGCTCTGAACTTTCAACCTCTGAGGCTGCAACAAAGGACTGAGAAAAGCTACGTGGATTTTCTAGGATAGGGCTACCTTTACTTTAGGATCTGACTGTAAATACTGAAGATGTGTGTTTAGGACCTGAGTACGACCATGAAACTGAGCAGATACTTTTCTTGTAATGTAGACATGTCCTCAAAATTTTTTTGTCAATGGTGATGCTACCCAAGTAACTTTCAGAGGCTTCTTCCACATGCATGCTGAAGAAACTGTCCTTTGTCTTCTGGACCTATAACAGAAGGTTATTCCCAACACCTTAAACAAGAAAAGTCAGAAAGGGGGGGAAGAAAATGAAAGCAGGTATGCGAGAGAGAGAGAGAGAAGTGTAGTCTGATGGAAAAAAGACGAGTAATAAAGGAATAAGGGCTGAGCTGTTGCTGTAGAAGTTGAGGTGGCAAGAGGAGAATATTCCTGGGGAAGAGAAAAGAATTTTTTCTAGTGGTGCTGAGAAATGTATGCTCTTGAGCAGAAAGCATGGGGATGTCTGGTTTTTTTCGACTAGTTTCCTGGTACCTCTGCAAGAAATGAGGACATTCAACAGCTACATTACCTCATCTTTGCTTGTATTTATTTCTTCTGATGAGCTGTTTGCACTGACAGCTCTGGCTATGGTGAGTTAGAAATGATGAAGGGAAACAGCACAGTAAGGAAACCCTTGAGATATAATCTTCATGAAAGTTGCTTAAAGATGTCTGACTGCTTTTGCTGACAATTGGATTAAATTTAGGCTTAAATGAGAGATAGGTTCCTGTTAAAGAAGAAGGGATTGTGTCTATTCATTCTCTCTCTGTTTCACCTGATTCTCTCTCTCTCTGTTTCACCTGATTAAATATTTTTCACAGTCATCTCCAGACAAAAGTTTCTACATAGGTGTTTGACCATTTACTCTCATATGGCCTGTGTTCAGAACATTTCATCTCTCTCTCAAGTTCTTGGAGGACATGGAAAAAGTGAATGTGGACAAGTCTGAAGCACTGCACTTGAAAAAATATGGTAGAGAAAATGGCTAGATAAACCTTTTGCTACCTGAAGAAGAACTGTGTTCTGCCTTTCGGAGAATAATTGGTGTTGGACTTCTTGGCCTCATGTTGCAGCTCTGCTGAACTCTGACAGCCTTCAGTTGAGCTCAGCATTCCTAGTGGAGTAGGTAATTCTCTGCTGAGGTCCTTTCATTAAAAAGTAAGGAGTGTGCACCTAAATTAACTGTTTAGTGATAATATCTGTAAAAAAAAATAAAATAAAAACTTTCTTTAGCCCAGTGGTTTCCTTTATTTTGGAGTGGGGCAGGGCTTGATTGTGCATGCAATTAAATACCTATACATTAACTTTGAAACATGTTTATCGTATGCATATGATATTGACTGATTAACTAGGCACATTTTCTGCCTACAGGATCATATTTATGTGTGCATTAACATAGATTAGATGCTAATAATAGTTTGGGATCACTACATCACTCATAAACAGGGAAATCACAAGTAGATAATTCAGACCATCCCGTAGAAGAGCTAGTGCAGCTGTTGTACTGTGGTGTGAGGCATTCATGTGCCGTGTGACAGCTTTTGAGTTCAAGGAGAACCTCTTCAAGTTATTCTGATAAGTGCTGTTTTCTTTCCCTCACATTTAAAGCTGGTTATTGATAAGCAGAAGTAGAAAAACAAGGATGAAACACTTCACACCTTTCTAAAATGTCCCTGTGTGTTACATTTCACCACCTATCAGGACAGAAATTAAATCTGGCTTCACTGAGCAGCAGAGTTTGGGCTTTGTATATAGTAAGGTTTTCTAGCTGGTGTCAAACACAGACATTGTCATCGAAGCTACTGCAGTCTCAAAGTTCAGAGTAATTCCTGTCTGTGCCTTCCAGCTCTGTATGCATTGTATAGTATAGCCTCAAAACATGTAACTTCAGTTATGGGTGGGCATGTTTTCATTTGTTTCACTGGTTTTGGAGCATTAATGGTGGTATTTGTCAGCCTTTCTGTCTTTCTGTTTATTCTTCTAACTATTCTTTCTCTGTGTATTAATTTTTTGTGCAGAGAATAAATGTTTCTATGCTTAGACCATTGATTGTTTGATAGAAGTACTGCACTTTGCATAATTTTGGGCTTGATTAGCACGTTTTAAGAACACAACACTAGAAAGGAAAGTTTTCTGTGGATGTGCAAAATGGATATAATTTTCTCTTCATAGTCCCCTGTCAGTATGCTTCAATGATGTTGCCAGGACCTCTGTTTTGGATTGTGGAGTTGTTTCGTCTCCACGCCTGTCAAATACCCAACCTCTCCAGTAAGAATGCCAGCAAGACAGAACAAATTTCAGAATAACTTCTGTAATACCTACACTTCAGTTCCAGGGAATTGTGCCAAGCTGTAGCAAACAGATTTTACACAAGCTGTTGAATTGTTAAGTTGCAGTGTAAAGGAATGAGTACTCAATTAGATTAAGAGTTTTGTGGAAGGGGTTATCAACCTTCTGCAATGATGTGGTCCTCTAGTTGCTTTTACATAGTGTGGTATTGAGTTGTTAATTTGAACACAGAACTGGAGAGGTCATCTAGTCTGGAACAGAGGCGAGAATAATAAGATATTTTGAACCTAATTGTGTTTTCAGGAGTAATAAAGGGAATACAATCTGTTTTGTTTGCATGTACCTAGTTGTCATTTCTGGTTGTAATGAGCAAGAGGTGTAAAGGCTGTACCTAGTATTTGAAGAAATGACATTACTACTCTACATCTATAGCACAAATTTGTAATTTGAGCCTCAGGTACTGCTGGAACAGATGGTGGTGGTGTTGCAGGGCCAGCTGAACATCTCTCCTCCTCAGACTCTGTAAGTGCACCCCTTTCTGTAGTTTGGAGCAAGACCTTTACTTCTGGGAGGGAGGATTTCTTGTCTTGTCCAGCTGTTGAGTTGGGTCTTGGGCAGTGGAACACTCATCCTAAAAACCTAACCAACTTGGGTGTGGTTCTGCCTTTGGGACACTGCTTACTTGTGAGTAGATTGGGCAGCATTTAGCAAACTCATGTTTGGTTATGTTCCTTAGCAATCTCTGAGCTCATTTGAGTTCCTTAGCTCTCCCCTTGAGCTATTAGTTCACCTTCTGCTTAAAGTGAATCTCTGAATATGGCATGCACTGTATTAGTAAGTTATTACTGAAGAGTTGCATCGGATCATTTATAGCTTTGGCCAGCAGTAGATACTTAGGAAAGGGTGTAAGAAACAGACAAATATAATCTGATGATAAACAATCCCATCTTCTGAAAACGAGCATTTTAGGGACTTTCTGACCTGAAGGTTATACCAACACAATTGTGTTTTGGAGCTCTTCATGATCCTGCCCTCTGTGATTTTGTCTAATCCAATTTTTGAGTCCATTTTAATACTACTGGTCTCTGCAGCATTCTACAACAACTGAGTTTTGCATTGCATACATCCCTGTGTTTGCTTACTTTGAGTCTGTTTCCTGATAGTTCAGTCAGATGCCATCTAGTTCTCGTTTTAGGGAAACTACTGAATAATCACTCTGTATTCACCACCTTCATAATATCAGTATTTGATAGGTCTATATTGAATTTACTCTCAAAATTTCTTTTTGAAGCTGAAAAGCAATCACTTATCTCTTTAGAGTCAGGATTTTCTTTCATGAAAGCCATTCTATATTTTGGTCCTTTATGTATTTGAACATTTTCCCTATACTTTGTGGGTTTTGGAAATCATTTTTTGAAGCAGGGTGACCAGAAATAATGTTGAAAGTGTAAGCACATGGAAATGTTGTATACTTCTATAACACTGCTTTTTGTATTGTTCTTTTTGATTCACAATAAGTCCCAGCTTCTTAGTTCAGGAGATCTGTTTGTCTCAAGCCCCATAAAGCCCCTGAAATGGGGAAATCCTAGAATAAATATTCCATGCCATCCAAGGAGCACTCTTCAGAGCACTCTGAGGGGCTTCTTTTTTATTCCATTTAAAGGTAATGGTGGCATTTCATGCAAACTGATATAGTGACAGTTTGTGGTGGAACCTCTCAGCCTCTCTTCAGACTCGATGCACATGAATTTCTGCTCTCTGACATGCCAGTGCCACTGTTACTACAGGATTGCCAGAGAAAACAGTTGACTTTGGTCTGCTACTGCTGGCATTCTTGGGTATTTTGCCCCAGTACATTTGTCCTAAGCTTTAATAATGACACCTCTTCCATCCTGGTGGCAACAGTTTAACTGAACTCCTGTGTTTGGGTTTTTTGTTTGTTTGTTTTCTTTTTTTCTTTAAAAACATGTGAAATTTGTGGAAGAGTAGGGGGTGATGGACATAGTAGAGGTTTTATTTATTGTTAGTATTGCACAGAGCTTGTTGTGATTACTTAGTGATTGAAGTAATAATAATTTAATATCCAACCCTAGAACTTCAAGTCTGAACTTAGGACCAAAGTGGGTTTGTTGTTGCTATTTTTTGGCCATAATTACAATTAATTGTGGGGGAATTAGTGATGAAGGAAATAATTTAGGGTGCTACAAATTTCTAGAGTAACAGAGTATGTTTTTTACCTTACAGAATTGAGATGCTTACAGCACAAATATGTTCATGCTTCATGAAATTAGGTACATTTCCCAGAATGTTAATTTTACAAAACCTTTTTCCTTTGACCTGAAAAAAAAAGATAAATAAAACATGATGCTGCTTGCTCCATACAATCTCTTCCTCCTTCCGCTTTAAGCCAGCTCCAGTTTATTCAGACAAACTGTTAAGGAAGATTTGGATTCTTTTTCTCTTAAAAACAGAAAGGAAATCCTTTGGATTCTGTTCTGAAACTGGAAAAATACGGGTAGGAAGCATGTGTAGCCTATGTTATCAGTGCTGATGTGTGCGGTGAGTTAAGCAACTGGATTGGAGTAGTACATTTGTTTAACCTTCCAGCATAATGAGCTGCCAGGGGGATTGCTCCACTTAATAGCAGCCGTTCATTACTCTGCAACCATTTGCAGCGTGTTATTTCTCTTATAGCAAAGAGAATTGGCGGTTCCTAGTTTTAGCTTGCTTTATCTGTGACACTTAATGTCAACAGCCTTGAGACTTTGCCAAAACAATCCTAACAAATCCTAATCCCACTGTTTCAAGGTAAGTATTTGCTTCTCAGAATTCTTCTGTATTAGTGCTGCATGTTTACACTGGATCTTTTTAAATGCAACAGTGATCAAAGAAATATTTGAACTGAACCATATGTTTATTTTTTTGTTCTCTGAAGGCACTTTGCATGTTCTTTCTTCTTACCTTTCACTACCATAGCTAAGAAATTTGTGGTAGAAGGTATTTTGGGGTGGTGATGCTGCTGCCATTATATTATAAGGATCATCAGACCAAAATTAATTATGAGACAATGAGAATTCCATTTATAATGTCACAGATGTAGTTCAGTGTGCCAGGCTGTACATTAAAATGTCAAAAAGTTCAAATTAACCTACAGCTGAAGCCACCCTCTGCCCAAGAGCATAATTAATGCTTGTTGTTGTTCAAACGGTGCAATGTAAAAGCAACAGAGCTTTTATAAAACGGAGATAAATTCTTTAAAGGCATCCCACTTGCAAAAACTAGCTGAACTGTCAAGGGAAAAGAGAAATTTTTGCTAATGGCAAAAGAAATGATTATTTTAGGGAGTGAATTAATAGACTATTAATGAGCCTTGTTCCCAGTGCATTGTTCACTTCACACTTGACAGCAGCTCCATGGATCAGGATGGAATGTGTCTGTTCTTAACTGTGAGTTTTAATATTTTGCACTGAAAGATCATAATGTTGCTTCATCATTAAAATAACCACAAAATTAACTTTTGCCCCAAGGGAAAGACAGATGGCAATTTGATGGCCTCATTATTCTTTTTTCTTTTTAACAAGAGTAAGGTTTTACATTGGCTTATATAATCTAAAAAAGATCTCTGAAGAAACTGATGCTACCTAGAAGATTAAAAAGGATGTAGCCAGATCATGTAATTGAATTTCACCTTCCTGAAAATTTTAGCTATAAGAAAATTCTTATGTGTGTATCTCTTTCTTTTTTTTTTTTCCCTTTCTTTTTTTTTCTTTTTCCTTAGTAGGAGTCATCCCAACGACCACTCTCAGTAAGTAAACTTGTCTCACTGATGCCAGGAGTAATCCCACCATTGCCTTAGTTGGGCTGACATCTCACCCAAGCTACACACACAGGGTTTTCACAGGGTCAGGTTTCAGTACTTAATAGATGATGGCATTTGCTCATAAAGGAGTAAAGGAAGGTGTGTGTAGTGATTAGAGGAAGTGAATGGCCAGAAGGTCTCCAGTTAACTTGCTATGAGCTTTGGGTGGTGTGCCTGCCACGTGTGTGCCTCAGCGGGCCCATTTCCAGTGAGCACAGCGTTGGGTAGTTCCTCTTCACTCAGACAGGAATTTGTGGATGCTTCATGCTTTGGAGAATCTGATTAAATAAATATTTAACTGCCTCACAGGGATTTAATTAATGCTCACTGTGGACTTTGAAATGAGGAAAAAAGGCAAGGCTGATTACAGTTCATCTGTTCAGTTCAAGCCCGAATTCTACTTATTTGTTTTATTTTTTTTGTAAGTGATATGGGAACAATTCACATGTTTATTTTGTCATCTGAAAGAGACTTGTGATAAAAGAGGAATGGAATGAAAAGGAAAATGTGGACTTGATAGGCCACATTTGTCAATGCATGTGCAGGAACCTCTCACAAGCAAACTATGACATCAAATAAACACTTTTGATCTTTGTGGACTTCTTTAGGAGGTGTGGCCATGAAAGTTGGATTCCTTTGTGACCTACATATATAAATTCGGGTTGAAACCTCATTATTCTTAGGAATGCTCTGTCAGACAGAATATATGTCAAATTGTGCCTCCACCAAGGCATTTCCTCAATTGAGGTATTCTAGTTTTCAGCTCAAACTGTGACTAGTTCCAGCTGCTTCCAAAGAGTTATCATAGCTCAGGCAGCATAAATTCAGGGGTGTTCATTTGACTCAAGAGGAGGAAAATAACCAATGCCCTAGCTGCAGAAATCTAGTACTCTTTGGGATGCCTTCTGCATGGAGGGACTGTTTAAAGCAAACTCACTGAAACACTGCATGGTAGAATGACACAAACCTTCCCTAGCACTGCAGAAGAGCTAACCTCTTCCTGTCTCAAATGCAGGCTATTTTGTCTCATTGAATTAAGTGGTCACTCTTCAGGCAAAGCTGTGGCATCTACTGCAAATTGACCAAAAGGAGACTGAATTACATCCTTAGGTAGAAATTGGTGTGTGTGGGCAGAGTGTCCTCTTAGCACATGGCTGATGTGCATTGCAAGCAGAGGGATTCAAAACTGACTTTGACATCGCTTAGGGTTTACACAGGCACAGCTGACAGCTCAGTCTAGTCTGCTGTCTTTACCACTGTGGAGTAAGATGGACAAAGGTATCAAAATCCAAAATGGTGTTCAATTTGAGAAAAATACTAATCAAATCTAGGAAACGGGTCCTGTCTCAGATTCACTTCTAAGTTGCAGACCTCTAGCAGAAAAATAAGTGCAACAATGAAACTCTACTTCAGATGCAATCAACACATTTCTATTGTCTTGATTTATATTACAGTGAATGCTACTTACTGTATTGTAGTCAAATGAAGATATATTCAGTCAATTATCAAGGGTGGAACAGCAATGAACTATGATGAAATAAAGGAAAAATTGCATATTCAGGTGACACAGATCTGCATACTTCTTAAAACTGCTTATATTTACTGCATATGGATGCTGCAAGAGTCCTGTTTGCAATACAGTCACACATTCCTGGATGTAAGGCAGCTTAAGGAAGTCACCTAGATGGGTGGATTTGCTTTGGTTTGCATAACACTGTCTCTGTGGATTTGATAAATCATGAGGCAGTAGAAAATGCATATTGAGACTTCTTTGAAAAGTAGATATCTACATCCTTTCCTCATTAGTGCAGATTGGGTGTTTCTGGATTTACACTGTAATATTTAAAGAGGAAATGCCTCTGGTTCTAATGGGACAGACTCACTAAGTAGCATAAAGTTTTCAGAATCGTTAAAAGGAACAATAGCTTCCTCTGCTTAAATCAGATTTGGATCTTATTTCTTCTGAATCTTCTTTCTGAATAAAGTGATTTCAAGTTTTTTGATAAAAAGATAAAATTTCTGATTTGAATCTTATTTCTTCTGGAATAACTTAGTGGAAGCTAGCAGTGTTTGTATCAAGGTTCGATTTGGTACAGGATTCTACACGCTTAGATTTCCCAGTCATTGTAGGAATTAAAAATCAGGATCCCTTGGACTGATCTAAGGAAGACACTTTTTGTAAATCACAGAAGAGTAACCCATTTGTCTCCCTTTCCAGTTTTCGGTTTCAATGGTAGAAAATCTAAAACTTTTGGGGATAGTATGGGATTACAATAGGTTCTTGGAGCCCTCATAACACAACTGTTTGATTATGTCTAGCTGAAACAGAATATCTCATCTATTACAGACAGCAAAGTAGCGTTTCGATGCTGAAAAGATCATTAATATATCGGGATTTTTTTTCCTATTTGCTTTTCCCAGCATTCAACATCCTTAAGCACTGTGGGCTTTTCAAACGGTTTGGAAATGGAACTACCTCCAACAAGGTTTTCTAGCTCTGCTGATCCACAGATGAAAGGTGCAGCTGCTGTAACACTTGGCTCGTCCCCAAATGCCCTTTGTGACTGTGATGCTCCGCCAGAGTCAGTGCCCAGCTACAGCCTGGCTTTGGGCAGGGCTCCAAATGACCTGAGCCCTGGGAATCCAGCTGGCTTCTCACCAGGTGATGCACTCCAGGGCAGCACCAAATGCAAGGTAGGAATGGCTCAAACTCCTCTACTGAGAGGGAATCCACTTTCATTTACAACACACTTTACTGTTAGTCAACCAGTCAAAGGTAGCCTTTTCAGTAAGTAAAGTTTTCCTTATCTGGTATTTGAAGACTGATTAAAAAATATTTTCTTAAAATGGAAAGAAAACTAATAATAAAATTTGGTGTTTTTTTTCTCACCCCCCTGCCCCCCGAAGCTGGAAAATGAAGACTTCAGTACTGTAGATTGTCTTCTGGAAAACAGCTTGGCTACTGCTGGGCAAGATGTAGTTAATGAATTAACTCTTTCTATGCAAAAAGTGATGGAAGAACCTATTAATCTTTCAATCAAAAAATCTCAACATTGCACTTCTCCTTCTGAACTGCTCGGCAACACTGTTTTCCTGCCTGTGAATGCCAGAATGAGACAACTTAGAAGCGAAGAAGGTACAAGGCTTTCAATTATTTCATTTGTTTTTTCGTTTGGTCTTTCTTAGCACTGTGCATTGCAAGCAAATTTTCTTTCTAGCAAGCTTCAAATATTATCAGAGTGCTTAATCCAGTGGAAACATGTTTGATCTCACGTGGTGGAGGAAAAAAACATGGAAATGATATGCTTTGTATTTGTAACATCCTTCATCTGTAAATGAGAAACGAGTGCATCTGTGTGAAGTACCTGGAGTATTAGTTCTCTTAGAAGCACTCCTGTTAATGAGACCTGCAGTTATGACTATTGAAGAGCTGGTTTGAAGGGTCCAAATTCAATTAAAAAAAAAAAAAATTACTTCCCAAATGTAATGTGCCTTCTGCTAAGACCTTCACGTCAGTAGCATACCAAATTTTTGTTAATACATTGCACAGTATGTGCTTTTGCTTGGCTCTGTCTGTTGTGGAACATTCCCTTCAGCCAAGACCTATTTCTTCAGCCTTAATGGAGAATTAGACTTGACTTTACTCTTTTTGTGGGCAAATTGCCATCATCGTTGTGCTGCACTGTAAAGCCTCATTCCTGCAAACTCTGAAAGTCAATGGGACTACTCATGCAAGCAAGGGATTGCAGGATCAAGCTGTTATCCCGTGACTTATGCCAACATTTGGCTGCTTTTCTCTATAAAAGATGAATTAATATTTCTATCTCTGTGCTGTACTTTTATTCAGAGGATTCTAATTAGTACAAAGGAGGCCTAGCTCAGTGAGCCAAGGAAATGTATTTGTCTTCTCTTCTCTGCCCTATGCCAAAGTGTTACAATTATGCCGCAGTTATTCGTGTGAGTTGTAAGAATCAAGTGCACCCCCAAAAAGCTGTGCCTCAGTCAGGCTGAAGTGTCTACGAGAGGAGCACCTTTGTAATATCTGGTTTGGGTTGTGTGACAGTACACCCTGAAAGCAGCCCCAGTGTACCGAATCTTACCGTCTATAACAGATGCTACAAATTTGCTCCATACAAAGCACAGGCCCTGTTGGGCAATAGGATGGAAAGCCTAGCGTGTTGAATTCAGTGCTACTCCCTCTTCACAAGGAAGGATCTGGAGGGAGCAATTCCCATCGTGCTGTACCTGTTTAATGGTGTGCGCTGAGGGGAGACCTGAGGAGATACAGTCACCATATGCAGTGGGAGAGAGGAATTCTGTTGCAAAGGCAGCGTTATCTCTGCTGGTGGCTCTCAGTGGGACTTTCTGGCTTCAGTGGTGCTGTGCTGCCAAACCCCATTCCTTCTGGTGTATATCTCCAATGACTCATCCTTTTCTAATATCAAACCTAACCTAAACATTTCAGCCTAATTTAAAACAAAATACTTCTTGTCCTAGCCACAAGGGATGTGGTGAAAATTGTACATAATTTCATCATTTTCCCTCTTAGAGCCACTTCTCTTCTTATCGTGGCTTGCATAAACACCGTCCCCTCCCCTTCTCTTTCCTAGACTAAACAATTCTGATGGTTTCAGTCTCTCCTCATGGGTCAGGAGTTTGATTTTTTTCTAAACCACATAATTCCTGCTGTGCTATTTTGGGTTCTCTGCAATTAAGGAGTGCTGCCCACAGCCAAAGGCAGTGCTGCAGCTGAGGCCTCTGGGGTGCCATGCAGAGCCAGAGTATCAGCTTCTTGTGTTTTACATTCCTTGCTGCTGGTAATAAGCTGCAAGATGGTATTCCTCTCTTTTGCAGCCAGCAGCATTAGATGGTTGACTTGCATGTAGTAAGAAGTCCACATTAACTCTTAGTTCCTTCTACAGAGCAGTTCCCAAGTCAGTTATTTTCCTTTGTGTTTACATTAATCTGATCCTTTATAAGCATAATACAGTTAATTCAATCTTACTGATTTAGGAGATTTTCTTTCTATGATGTACTAAGGTCTATTTTTAACTGTAAATATTCTCCAGAGTGTTTGCAACTCCTTTAGTTTCCCACAAATTTTATATTATTTTATGGGCCAAGTTGCTGATGGAAATATTGGTTAATATAGGAACCCAGCATCACTGGAACATCCTCTGGTTTGGCAATGTGCTACAAGAGCTGACCCTACCTCAGTGTGCAGTCACCCTTTGGTAATTCTGTCCGTGTCCTTCACCTGAGCAACAATCACAAGTGAATAATGCCTTGGGTGTGATGTGAAATGCACCTTTCCTTGTCAGTCTTGTATTGCATTTCATGGAAACAACAAACTATCCTTAGAGACACATTGCATTCAAGCCATGGGTTAGGTACCAGTGACCCAAGCTAGATTTTTCTTTTAAAAGGCATGTTTTCCTGGCCCTCACTTGTCTCCAGACAACTATGATATTAGTTTTGTTTCCTGTTAGTATTGACTATGTCAAACCAATTCCTAGCATAGGAAGGCATTGCTATGAAATTTGTCAGTGGATTGGTCTATGAGGACATCCACTGGGGCATTTGTCTCTACCCTGTCCCATCTCCCTGAAGTTGTTTTATTACTCTTGTGTCTACTGTTAGTCAAGAGCTACAGCTACTTGTATGCTTATATAACAGATAGTTTTGAGTCCATGTGTTTATATGATACAGACATTGGATAGAGAGGAATTATAGTGTAACTTTTGTCCCTCAGTGGCAGATGGGAGGCACAATTTTCTTCCTGTTTTCAAGAATTAGCCAGAAGCTTCGTAGCATGGGGCTGGAGACTACAGAGACTTCCTGAGCCTCAGAGGTTCAGACCTCAGTAGGTCTGTTTTTCTCAAGTAAAGGCTGTACAGCAAAGAGGATTATTTATGTTGTTCCATGTATATGGATGAATGTGGCATGGGTGTGTACATATATAATTCTCTGGGAATGAAACCATTGTGGCAAAATATTTTGTAAAGGCTCCTCATATTTAGAACAGAAACTGTGGTTAAAAGCAAAAAAAAAAAAATACAAAGGCTCTGTACCAGAAGAGAAAATAGCATACACATTTTCTATACATATAGATGAAACGATTCCATAATTCACTTATGATATCATATTAAACACCAGACAGAAGTACATGAATATTGAAGTACTTTCTACCCTAATCTGCCTGTGATATTATAAATATTTTATTCATTTTCTTATCTTCTGTTCCAGATTCCAATGACTGGGAAAAGGAACATTTTGAAATGGATATGAAAAGCAATCAGAATGTCAGGTAGAGGAGTCTTTTTTTATACAAAATCACTGGCCATGAAATTTTATGCACGTATTTTGAAAATTTGTCATACTTAATGATAATGGAGAACTTAAAAAGAGTACTAGATTCCTTATAGATAATAGTTCTGAAAGTTGTAAATTGCTCTCTTAAACTTGAAAACAACAACCACAAAAAAGTGGTGAATTCATTCATTCATATTTCTGTTATTCTGTGTAATTTTCTAGAATGAATAAATACTTACAAACTTATCTCACTTGAACAATTCAAAACTGTTAAGCCTAAATTAAAACTAAAAGATATCATGCGAACTAGATTAATATTATCTCAACAACTTTATAAAATTTTGTTTTCAGCTACTGCTGTGATAATATGTTCAAGTAAACTTGATGATATGCTGTGTTCCTGCTTGAAGCGTTGCACTTAAGAAGTATCAAACATGACATAGATTTGGATAGTTAAAACAAAAATATACGGAGCAGAGCAAAGGGTTAGCACAGAAGTTAGTAATGCATGTACACATATGATTAATTTAAAGTGATCGAATTCTCATTTCGTAAAGAATTGTCTTGTTAAAAAATGTCCAGATTTTCAGCACTGAGCCAGCAGAGTCACAGTTGCAAAGGGAAAGGGAGCCCAAATAATAGTGCACGAAAAATATTGAAACTTTTGTGGAATGTGTCTGAATTCAGCCCTGTGTCCTTTTGACTGCAGAGCTGGCCCTAAGGAGCAGAAGATTCCCTTTGTGCGACTGGAACGTTTGAAAATATGTGCGTCGGAAGTGGGGGAGCTGCCGGTGTTTAAGCTCCAGCCACAGGACAATGAGCAGGAGGGCAATTTCCTCCTGGTAATTGAATGTGGGACCCGGTCTTCAAGTATGTCTATAAAGGTGAGTGGAATTTCCTGGAGGTTTGACTTGCCTTCTCCCCTTTATCCTACTGGTTTGGACCCACAGTTCTGAGATTCATTATACAATAAACGAGTTTGTTGATTTGTTTCACCCTGGGATACTTTGATGTGTTGAGGTAATAGGCAATGCAGCTTTTAGTTTGCTGTGTAGCCCCCTGATACTTCCATTTCTGAGGAGGCTGTCTCTGGGATTGGACAGCTGTAGTGTTTTTGTACCCTAGCAAACAGCTTGGCTCACCTGTCTGGTTACAAATATAGGGTAAATAGCTTAAAACTGACCTGAATGTATATTTGAGTTATAGGAACTAATTCCAGAAATCAGAGTGTAATAGATTTTTAAAAGTTTTTTATTCAGTTGCTTCACTGGAGTCTTGAGCATGAGCTTTGCTCCACGGAAGGAAATAGGACATTCTGGTGGGAACAAAACCCTATACTGTTTTTGTTGTTTTGTTTTTAGTGGTTTTGTTTGTTTGTTTTTCTGTTTGGTTGTTGTTTGTTTTTTTTTTTTCTTTTTGGGGGGTTTTTTGGGCTCTTCACTGCAAAATTTGCAAACACCATTGCAGAGTATCCTGTTTCTATCACCCGTGGTATGGAATCTGTGCAGCTCTCACAGTGCTATTACACTGTGGTGTGTGGAGGGAATAACTTGACCAAGGTGACCCAGCCAGCCAGTGGCAGATGCCGAGCTGAGCATGGGCCTGCTGAACCACCCAGTGCCCTCTCCAGTAGAATTCACTGCAGAGAAATCACTTTGTCTGCAGATAACCACTGCTGTTGTATGCTGATATATGAAAAAAACGATTGTGTGATCCCAGAATTTTCTTCCTTCAAGATAAATAAAGATAGTCCACCTGAAGGACTGCAGTCCAAAGAGAAGAACTCAGAGGACAGAAAATTTGTCACATCCCAGGCTGCAGGACAGATACAATCTCCCCCTGTAGATACACTGTCTGTTGATCAGAAGCTCAGCAATGGCGTCTCCAGCATGAAAAAATCTCCAGTTACTCAGGAAGTCAGTCCAATTGAAAATGAGGATTTCTGTGCTGTGTGTCTTAATGGAGGAGAACTGTTGTGCTGTGATCACTGCCCCAAGGTCTTCCATCTCTCCTGCCATGTTCCAGCCCTGCTCAGCTTTCCAGTGTGAGTATGTATGACATTTCACTAATGTGTGTTCCTACTCAGTGCCTTGGGGCAGAATATATCCTCAGAGATGTACGTGTCAGCTTTATACTGCATCTCTTACTTGCCTTTTTTGATGCTTTTCTTGCAAAGGGAAGAATTGTCTTACACACTAGGAACTAGATAAATTATGAACAAGAATTATTTCCAGCCGTGTGTGCCCTTTCTGCAGTTAGCTGGTCAGTACAACAAAGGAGGTGACAGATCTGAGACTTTCATGTGACTCACTGGAGAAAAAACAAAATCCTAACTCTCGTGTAACATCTGAGGTGCAGACAGCAGCTATTCTCTGCAAAAACAGAGACTAGCCCCACAAAAAGGCAATCAGTGAATTTCTGTTCCGTTTTTAGCCAACTTTATGGGAAATTTAGGATTATCAGGGCTTACGTTAGAAAGGGTTAGGGCATTGGTTTCCCTAAGATATGTTGTCTAGCAAATTGTCACAGATGAACTGTGTATAGTGAGCCAGAAATAGATATATGTCCACATACAAAACCTCAGACTTTAAAAGCTAGGCTGAATAATGTGCATTACTGGTGGTGTACAATTCTGAATTCTCTTATAAATCATTAATAAGTGGGACCAAAGGCTACTACTTCATTTGTACCGAGCCCAAATAACTGTCTCAGCTGAGAAAAATACGTTGCAAGATACTAGTTTGGAGATTGTGGCTTGTTCTTTCTGTTCAAAAAACCAGGACTTTTCAACTCCTCTAGTTTCAAAACAAAGTGAAAATCACGTTTTCCTGTTAAAATCAACTTCCTATGCAAAGTTAAATTCTAATGAAGCAAATTAATTCCCTTAACTAAAATTCTGTATTCACAGTTCCTTAATATATCTTCATCTGTAGTTATTCAGACACTGATGTTGCAGAATTTGTGTCACTGCCTTCATGAAATTCTTCAAGAGATTTTTGGGAATGGATCTACTAGAAAGGACACACATGCCCTTGCAGAACTATGTCTATTTGGTTTGGGAACCCAAGTACTAGAACACATTGTGACCTTTTCTGATAATGTTGATTTCTTAGATAAAAACATCAATTATCAAATCGATCTGGGTTTGTTTTATGACCCAACTATTGCCTGTTTTTCCTCAATGTTTTTTTTAAAGCAGCACTTGGATCAATGCAGCTGCATACACTGCTGGTACATGATTTGAAACACTTAAAGTTTTGTCTTTTTTCTTTTCCCTTGTGACAGAAAAAGTGCAGTGAATAGAACCTGAAGTTGCTACACTTCTAATTGGATTCAAATCCACTGAAGAACATCTAGTACAATGAGCTTCAGATTGCCTGCTATTGCAATACTAGTTAAGAATGAGACCCTCCAAATACAGTGATTTAGGAGATTTGTTGTTTGACAAGGTTGGGGGAAAAAATCAGCATGTTTTTGGTTTATTGTTTTGCAGGGGAGAGTGGGTGTGCACCCTTTGCCGTAATCCAGTGAAGCCCGAGGTAGAATATGACTGTGAAAACACACGCTACAGCCACAGCTATAATGTACAATATGGCCTTGATGACTGTGACCAGAAGGTGGGAATAACTGTATGTTGTACCGTTTAGAAAAGGCCATATGATCTCAGCATGAGGCTTTGCCTTTTCTTTGGAAAGATGCTGGTTTTGACTTGGTTGCTACTCAAGTGTTACAGACAGTAGTAAATAGAACAAAAGCATTGTTACTATTCAGTTATATAATTTTCTTCTTTCTAGATATTTCTGTTCAATTTTAAAATGAATGTCATGTTACAGAAAGATGAAACAGGCAGATCTTGAATTCTTTTCCATTTTGAACAGGGAAGTCCCATTCAGCATCACAGCAAGCTTCCCTGAGTCATTTTTTTCCCTGGTTTTCTGACACTGAATCTTTTTCCTTTAAGACTTGGCACTTCTCAGACATCAGACATCTAATTGGGCCAGTGCAGTGACATTTTTTTGATGTAGATCCTTTTTGATTTTCAGTTGGAATGAAATCATCATACAATCATATGTGTACTATTAGTTCCCTTGAAGATGATGTTTAGGCTGTTGATTCAGCCTAGATGAAAGCTTTACATACCCATTACCAGTTTCCTCTATGAAAAAGAAAAGAGTGCCTTTTCTTGAAGTCCACTTGGTACTTGGAAGGCACAAGTTTCCGAATAGATGTCCTGTGTGTATTGTTGACACCTGGACAGAGAGGCTGAGTCCACACAGCTGAGTGCAGGTGTTGAGCTGGCCCTGTGCAAACGAAGCCTAGTTTAAGGCACTGGTCTAATCTGGGCATCAGTCATAAAGACAACAGCAATGATTCTCAGAGCACTGGGGCCCCTTGGCAAGGCCTATGAGCACAGCCAAGCATTGCTCAATTTATCCATGCTTTTTCAAGACCTGAGATACTTTGTCCATGCAGAGCTGGACCTAACTTTTTACACTGATGTGATCCCCTTTTCTCACTGGATTTGGTACAGCTGGACAGAAATTGTCGGGATCTGTGTCTTGAGTAGAGAAGTTTCATTTAGAGAATTGAGATGAATTAAAATTCCATTGTTTGTGAGCACATATGGCTTATGATGTTTTTATAGTGCATTCTTTTTGTGCTAGTGAAAAAGCCAAATACTATTTTAAGTATTTTACAAGTTAACAACGATTAACAGAACAATTTTCATACAGTACTACCAACTACATAACTTGCATGCATTTGTATGAATGGATATGAACAGTGTGAAACATTTCCCATTTGACTGTTTCCTCACTGTTGCTGCTGTTCTTTTAGTCAAGAGCCAAGAAATAGATCTGGAGTGCAGACAGGAAATAGTAATAATGATTAATTCCCAAGGGTTTCCAGGAAAGATAAGCACATATAAAGTTTTTTAACAAAGTTTCTTTTCCTGCATTTCTTGACTATTCTTATTTTCAAAGCTATAAAAATGCTATGAGGCAAGACATCCCCCTGGCTAGGGTAAAGTGTGCCACTTTGCATCAGAAATGCACAGTCTACATGAGAATTCTATTGTTGTTAGTATGATTGATTAACTGAGGACAAGAATGAAATTCACCTCTTTTGAATTAAAACGTATTTCAAATCTGTCTCCTACAGAAGTGTGAGAAGCTGGTGCTTTCCCTGTTCTGCAGTAGTATGAGCCTCCCATTCCATGAACCTGTCAGTCCCCTGGTAAGTACTGCATGTGCATGGGTCAGAGGGAATCCAAAGGATACTCTGGCACACCTTGTGATTGTCTCCTTTATCTTCTTAAAAGATATTCATGAGGTTTTCTGGACAGTATTTCTTCCTAGGGAAGGGTGGAAGTTTTCCTCTTGCAAGGGCTTTGAACATGTCAGGTTGGAGGCAAGTAAATGGTGGCCAGCTTTGGGTGCCAATTTAAGATGCTGGTAGAATACTAAAGGTATATGATAGGCTCCAGTGATTAAAAAAATTGACTTTGCATGTACATGGAAAATGTTGTGCTGCCCTAAGAGAGGCCTGCTTTAGAAATAATCCCGGACTCCCTCTTTACCCTCTCTGTGGACAACACCAGAAATGTGACTGTGTGCAGGGGAAGATATAGAAGCTATTGTTTCATCCATGTACTCAACATTTGCAATATTAACTGTTTGAAGGCAGATGGAGATTCCCAGTGTTGTAACAATAGAATACAATGAGAAACAGATTGGGGAAGGGAAAAATAAATGTTTTATGTGAAGGAATAGTTCAAATAATGATGAAAAACCCATTCCACCTAATAAAGCTTGCAATGAACTTAGGAAACAAATTACCTAACAAGTAGGTTTAGATCAAAAAAGATTTAAGGAATGTGATATCCTGGTAGCTAATGCCCATTGAAAAAGACTCTTGTTGAACTTTTGAGAGTGCACAGTATCTTGTTTTTAGTCACTCTTGGCAGACTACTTCCCACATTATCAGCTGCCAGTATCTCAGCACATTCTTTTTGTAATTCCTTAGGGGAAATGTTATGTAATTGTCAATGTTGCATATATTATTGATTATGGTTAAACAATGACATTTATATCTGGGGATAAACTTTACAGAGTGTAAATAGCAGAGTGTAAATACTGAGTGTAAACACTGAAGTGTGCTATTTTCAAGTTCAATCTTGCAAGCAAGTGTGTTTTTAATAAAACCGAAAAGCACCCAGAAAGATGATGTAGACAAGTGTAACCACTAAAAGACTAGAGCTCTCTTCCTTGATGCAAGGACTCCTCTGCAATGACTTTTGTTCAGACTTTGATAGAAGTCACTGGAGAAGAAATTAATTAATTAAAGCAAATAAATTAATTTAAAATGTTACATACTTGCATTTTCTTCTTGCAGGCTCGGCATTACTATCAGATCATCAAAAGGCCAATGGATTTGTCAACCATACGAAAAAAGCTGCAGAAAAAGGACAAATCCCACTATGCTGCACCTGAGGAGCTTGTGACTGATGTGCGTCTCATGTTTTGGAACTGCGCAAAGTTCAATTATGTAGGTTTCTAGGATGCATGGCTGGGGGGATGCAAAGCAGAGGGTGGTTCTTTCAAGCTGTCACACTGGTTCTTTGGAAATCAGATATAGGATTGGGATAAACAGAAGCATTATTCAGTTTCATTATTTGCAAATTATGTTGGGTGTTTTTTAATGACAGAAATGAAGTGAAATATGTATCTGAGAACTTGAGATACATATGGATCTAAAATTAAGGAAAGACTTCTTAGAGGACAACTCTTTGAAATGTTGCTGAGTTTGCTGTGAGAAGCCAGTCATAGCCAGCAAAATAGCTAGGGAAAATCAAGTGCATAGAAATTCCTAAACAATGATGACTGCTGTTCTTTCTAGTTCACTGCACATCTCTTTTTATTAGAGGTGCAGAAACGTGTTCCTTAATAGCAGCATCTGGTTTTTACTTACACTGAAAATGCAGAGGGACCAATGGGCTGTAGAAAGTGTGCAGGAGACTAATGGAGATGTAACAGACAGAAACAAAGCGAGACAAAGGGTAGGTTAGTTATTTAATTTTGATCCTTGATGATTTCTGTGTGCAGTAAGACTGAACAGTTATTGATTCTCTTACAGCCAGATTCAGAGGTTGCTGAGGCTGGACGATGCCTAGATGAATTCTTTGAGGACAAACTGAAGGAGATTTATCCAGATAGGCGTTTTCCTTTGATGCAACAAGACGACTCTGATTCTGAAGAAGTGGAGAGTCAGAACAGCAAAATGCCTCCCCAGGATTTTCAGTGGCCCTCATATGGACAGGAGTGCATTCAGCCCAAAAGGAAACGGCGCCATGCTGTCAGACTGCAAAAGCAAAAACATTTGCTTGCTAAGTGGCCACCCTGCTAATTCTGTTTACAGCAACTGATGGGAAGTTTTGACAGGGCTGTGTGGGAAAACTGTCAAGATTCTGTCACAGTTATGTGATCAGTTCTACAATTTTATGTCAAGATGCTCTCAGTGGAATAAAGTGTCAGCTGTGTATAAGTGTGCAATCACGAACAAATGAAGCCTCCCAGGCCACACAGTTATCTTCCCAGCAGAAAACTCTGTCAAGACTTTTAAAAAGACCAAGCCCTTTAGCTATTCACTGTTTGTTTCCTTTGTACACAGGAAAGTGAAAAAAAATAAAAGAATGATGTTTCAGCCAGCTAACAGCCTTCTTCAGGTACGACCTCCTCAAGGGATGAGATTTGCTATGAGGAATCCAGCAGCATAACTGACAGAGTTAAGGTGTGTGGGAGGAAAGCAAAGTGCTCGGGTTGTTTATTTAAACTCTCCTATTCTGCTGACCATATGCCTTATTTCTAGTTCTTGTGGATAGATAACAGATCCAGAATGTTTGAACCTGTCAATATTCAATCTGTTAAATTACGTACATGTTTTACAGTGTTTACACTGAAGTACTAATGTTTTGGTCATAGTTAATGATGAATAATAATAAAAATAACATAAAAATAATATCTAATACTGCAGTACTGTTTTATAATCTGCTCAATGTGACATCTCTATTTTATAGATCACAGGTAACCATGTAATAATCTTGCAACCTCAGTGTGAATGTTGGCCATGCTTCGTAGTAAATACATGTAGTCATTAAGGCTGTACTCCTGTTGTCTTATTCAATGATTTTTCTGGGAGCTTGACTGCTCAAAGCCTACGATATACAGTATAATGTGATTATCTGATTAACTGTTTCTTTTGAAGCAGAGCATTTTTATTAAATCATGAAAGAGCAAGTGCTAATAAGTGCTAATGCTAGGGCTCTGTGTGAGCTGTTTCTGAGTGCATACTGGATTCTCTGTTTGCAAGGCGTGATTCTTCTGGAATCTAATTCATGCTTGGTAAAGCAGTGTGGGATTTCCTGGGTCTCGAAGGTAGCATTTTTATACAACACAAGCCAGTTGTTTTTCTATAAAGCAGATGTTGGAATTCAGTAAATTAACTGTGCAGTGAATTACATGGTTATAGAAGTGCCTATAAAATGATGTCATATATTTCTGATTTTCTCTTTGCTTATTTCTTGTAGTTGTGATAACCGGCAGTACTAGAAGATGATGATAATGTATATATGTAGAAGCTCAAACAGAATGAAGGAACATCTAAACTGGGGTTTTTTTTGCTAAATTTCACAATATGTTGGTAGAACATCACCAGGAGCAAATTTAGAGTTCACTTGAAGAAAGGTTGCATGAAATTGTAAAGTCTTAAGGGTGGGATAGGTAACATGACATCACACCTGAACAGAGAGTGATAAGGTTGCAAATTGCTTCCCACCTCTTCCAGAAGCAGGTGAGCCACATTTTTGCATGGCCAATGCTTTCTTCATGTGTGTGGGGGGTATCTTCCTCCTTGAAACTCCGCCTAATCTGGGCTGAGGTCCAACTCTGAGAGAGGAAGTTGTTGCAGATCTCAAAAGCAATTAAAGTTCATTTTAATTAGGTTCGTATAAATAAAGATGATATTTTTAGCATAGTTTATATGGGCTATTTGGTCTGCTAACCATGTATGTTATTTTAGATAACACTTTAAAGCAAAGGTTTATATATGAAATAATAAGACATGAATGTTATATTCTACTCTGTGTTACTTGCTGTTTGTTGTTAATGGTAGTGAGCCAATGTTTTCTTTTCTTTGAAGAAATGAAAATCTGGATATTATAAACTGACTAGAAAACTGTGAGATGAAGAGACAGCCTTTACGTTTTCTATATATGAATTCCTATATGTTTGCTTTCTGTCTCCTGTTCTCAAAACAGTGTCTTGGCACAGGGAAATGAGTGCAGGTTTGTCACTGAATTAATCACCCTTATCTGTGCTACAGGTGTCACTTTTTCTCAGTTCTCCACCAAAGATCTATCTGTTTTTTACCATTAATAGTGCAAAAATGATCTGCTATCTAGCTTTCATCTAGTGGTAGAAATGGGAGAGGCTATTGACAACTTCCTCTCTTCCTGGAAGAGCAGAATCAGCAAGAGCCTCCTTATGTTTCTTAAAGGCTGTAAGTTTGTTAACCTTACCATTAGTTTTGGAGAACATGTGTTTATAATAAAATTCATAAGGATATATTATGTTTTCTTTAAAAATAGAAGTTTACGAGTTTGTCACCAAATATAAGATATCCTCTGTGTGTATGCTGGCAGGACTCTATGATCTAAGCACTCTAAGGCTAACTTTGATTTGGATTGCTTCACTAAGACGTAGTAATTTAAACCAACCCTATAAACTTCATGTCATGTTGATAAGCAGAAAAAAACCTGAACTCATACATATGACTTGCAAATACAATTCTGTGAGTCACCAACTTCTCAACATAGTGCATGCCATAAGAACAACCTTATCCATCTTGGATGTTGCCTTAAAATTGCTGACTTGTGGTGTTCCCACTGTTGGACACCATACCACCAGTGCCCATAAATTCTTGGGGAGTTTACTCTGTCAAAGTCCTGTTGCAAACTGGTAACAGCACTGGCCATTATGAAAGGAAGGGTCTCTCTTCTAAAATCTAACAGCACATGTGCCCCAAAAGAGAAGTCCTGCAAATATAACCACGGGCTATGTGTAATGGGTTACATGTAGAATGGGAAAATCCTTTCTGTGTTTAAGTAGTTGGAAAAGAGATTAATTCAGTAATAGGTCTGTTAAATAAGAAATTTGAATTTCATTCCCCTAAAAACAATTTCAAAGACATACTTCATCCAGCATCGTGACAGAAGAATGGCATTACAGTTAATACAAACAGGTGTTTAACAATACAGATTAATGAATGACTGCATGTTTATATGTGTTATGTGCATTGCTGAACAATAAAATATGTGAAATGCATTTTTGCAAATCAATCTGAAATTTTTGCTCTGAGTACATGTGCATTCAATTAATGTGTGGATAGTATAATATCATTTAACATTTATTAGCTAAGTTGTTCATAACTACTGATAGCAAAACAGAATGGTTATGAAAGAAGCTATGCTAACAGAGGAGACAGTTTTCTGTTTGTGCAGATATTTTTGATACCAAGTAGATATTTTTCTTTTTTTTTTCTATTTTTCAATTACTGTAAGTTGTTGAGAACCAAACATGATATTAACAAGTAGCAAAAAATATTTGTAGTTGAAGTGTCTGTATCTTTAATCTGAAGGAATCAGAAAAAATATTCTAAAATTGAAAATGCTAGAAATTGAGAAATTATAGAATAATTTACCAAAAAACTCACAAAAATACTCTGGCAAGAAATCAAACAGACAGTGCAAGTAATTTTCTATTGTTATTGGTTCCTCTCAGTTTGGTTTATAATAGAATAAAACTATCAGCATCAGCTTTCTGATCTGCTGGCCTGCTGGTTTGAGGGGTAAGAAATCCTCTCAGGGTTATAGCTGTGCTGCTTTTCAGACATAATTAGGAAATAATTTGTTGATAGAGGTAATTTTTTTTGTTGCATAAATAGGAAAATGTACAAAAACTTCTAGGCACGCAATTCCTTCAAGTGTCAAATACAATGAATATCGGCAATAGACTACAAAGCTAAATACCAGCTGAGTTTCTCTGACTTTATTCAGATATCAAATAAGGTAATCGGGGGAAAATAAAGATAGGCAGTAGTCGTAGGTTGAGGAGGATGCATATCTCTTGAGGCTGTATTTGTAGATCAGGAGCAAGAAGTAAAAAATGGAGTGGTTGTTTACTGAGAAAAGCTACCGCACTGTCTGTTCCTGCCCATTAGTAAATGTTTGTGAAAGTACATTTTAGTGCATAGCTATGTGTGTTTTCGTGAGAGCATTTAGTAGACTGGTAGCATTTAGATTAATTAGACTTTTGTAGAAGTTTATATTAGGATACATAAGAGTAAGAACATGGTATTTGGGTGGCTTTGTTGAGAGAAGTGCTTACTGTGGTGGGAAGGTTGCTGTGGAGATGTGAAATTGCAGGGTTCGAATCTGTAGTCAGATGTCTAGCTCCAGTTGCTCCCTTTTCATTCCCAATGTCTGAAAAGAGGTTCTTGAAAGATACTTTTCAGATAACTTCTTCCTCCTTAGGATGTAATTTTTAACAGATTCCATGCGAATTCCATCTCACAGCACGTTTTTGCTGTATAAAAGTCTTTTTTAGGTTAAGAAGATAAGAAATGCAAATGTTTTTCCCAGAGCAAACAAGGTTGTGTCTGAAGGTGTGAGAGAGCATTTTATGGCTTTTTGGAGAGTGTTTGACGTGATTATCAGTTTTATGGAAGTAGCAACACTGATCTGTGGTTGTGTTGGGGATGTTGATTTGTAAGGTACTGTTCGTTGTGCCTAGGACAATTCTGGCAGTAGGAAGAGGCAGTCTGATACTGAGACAATGCTTATTACATTTGTTGTCAAAATCAGCAGGGGATTCCAGGTTTATGGTATACATGATAGAGATGTCACTTAATTGTTTTAGGCATAACATAGATGCTGTGTTCCTAGATATTCTGTGCTGAGATGATATATCTGTCCTTAATCCCAAAATTCCTCCCTCATCTGGTGCATCTAATTGCTTGCCTCACTAGAATGACTTTTTTACAATGTTTCTCATTAACAGTCATCAGCTCACTTCAGAGGGAAACAAAAAATCTATTTTTATACATTGACACTTGGGCAGGAAATGAATATTTTTCCGTTTTTACTTATTGGCCTGCCCTTGCTTCTGATGAAGTTAGAAAGAGAAGGAATGCTCCTTACATCTCATAAATCCAGTACTTGCTCATTATGATATATATCCTGCTCTAGAAAAATCTGTGGATGCTTTTTCATTTTGTACAGTAGAGGTAGAGTTTCTTGATGTAGTGCAGGTATGGGACAAACAGTGAAGTTGAGAGATGCCTTATGGGAAATTTACAGTGAAAACATTGTACAAGTTTCAAATCAGGGGTAACGTTTGGATTGTACCTCTAAAAGGGTGTGATTTGCTCCTGTGGGTAGATGTTGCAGATTTAACCAGTTGCCAGCTCTTGTGTTGACTTGTCTCCTGGCTTAATGAACAAATATAGCCTAATAGTGTTTCAAATGTTGAACTATTCTCATAGAAACTTATAGAACTTAATCTGGTTTTATACTGGGCCCAGCAAATGTCAACATATAGCAATCATTAAAAAGCATCAGAATAATGATATCTTCAGACAGTGAAAGTAAAACAGATAAACTATGCTGTAGTAGGAAAGTTAGGGTATGGAGTGGCAGGACATTTTATGTAGTTATTTCTAGATTGTATGGTAACTTGAAAGTTAGTGTGTTCAGTGTATATATAATCATGTTTTTGCTATTTACCATACTTAATATGTTTCCTGCAACAGCATTAGAACAGACTTAAATGATGCTCGAGTTCAGCATCTCCATTTCAGGAGCAGGTTGAGAATCACACAAAATTTATCTACAGGAAAGTTCTGTTCAGTGAAGGGCAATGGGGCAGTGCTCAGTCCACTGCTGCAAACCCACCACTGCCTTACAGCATGGGAGCAGCTGCTGTGGCCTGGGCAACGTGGCTACCATAACCCTAATCTCTGGCTGAGCAAGGTTATCTCAGGGGTATTACACACAGGATGGATTTTCTCCAGAGAATGAATCTCATAAAGGCTCTCCAGAAAGAGTTTTCCATACCATTCAAGAAAAAGGAAAGTCTTCATCTTTATTTTCAGTCTTCTAAATACCACAAAAATCTCTGCAGTGCCAGCATTATTGATTGTCTTGAGAGTTTGCTGGACCAGGAGATCACAGCAATGACCTTTTGAGGAGACAGTCGTGCTGCATGTTTGCAGCTCTTGCATCATGTTCAAAGCTCTTCCCAGAGTGCTAGCGCTGTGCTGTGCTGTATTGCATCATGCCAGCCTGAGCCCAGTGCCATGGGGCTGGTAATCCCTGAGGGTGGGGGAGAAGCAGCCTGCTGTGGTCACATGCTGGAGAGCTGGGAACACCCTGGAGACATTCAGCCCCTGAGCTGGGAAAAGTGTCTCTCCAGCACACCCACCTGCTATCTAGATGACTCATATTGTCTAAGGATATTTAATGGAATGAGAACATGTAAGTTCCCTCCTCTGACTGGTCTTAATTATGGAATACTGTAAATATCTCAGTAAATTTTTAGCCACTGAACTGAGCCTTCTACTCAACTGTCTAGAAGATGAGATACCTGCAGAACTAGTCTGATTCTTTGTTTATTGGCTTTTACTGCTTCCAAATAATATATCTTCACTTTATGAGTAAATTTACATTGGTTGCCTCACCTTTTCCCAGTTGTCAGTACTGTAATGCCCTTCTCATTTTGAGTCAAGTTCTCCTGCATTATTAATTTAGCAGTTTGTAATTAAATGATTAGCTAATCAAATTGTTCCCTCCAGAGTACCTGTGCATTGAAGACTGATTGATTTAACCGAGGTCACTGAGAGATAATTCAACCTAAACTTTGTGAAGTGTGAGAAACAAAGATGAAGAGGTTCTCTGAGTTGGGAGAAGGAGGACTTGTATCTTTTAGCCCTTTGCATGTTTTCTTGTAATTCCACTGAGGACGAAAAAATGTTTCTGGAACTAGAGATCCAAAATCACACAAACTTTTGTGTTCCTATTACCTTACCTATTAAAAATGTAGCTCAGACTTTAAAATGCATTGTGATAATATTAGCTGTTTTCTCCTTTGTTTTGCACTGTCTTATCCTGTGGGAACAAAATGAGAATTCTCTTAATGGAATTGAAGGTGAATAAACACTAGAGGTGATACTGTGGGGGTGGCACTGCAATACTGTTAATGCTGGTTTTGTCAGAGAAGTTAAGTCTGTGTATAACTCAGTCTGTAATTCCTCACTGATTTGAGAAAAACTGCTTTTGCAGCTTTTATGGAAAGGTAAAATGCTTACACTGACGTAAAGAGGTGGGAGATGAAAATAAGGGGTTTTTTATTTCTCTCAGTTTTTGCAACCAAATGGGTGTTTTCTCAGGTTCCTCACAAGTATTTAGGTACTGCTCACTTCCAGAGGTGGTGGCACAGCCCGAATGGGTCAGTAAACTTTAAAGATGCAGCAAAGCTGAGGTTTTTTCAGTATTTCCTTCAGACCCACGGACGCAGCCTCAGGTAACAGAAGATTCACCACCCTGGGGCAAAGCATGTAGCGGGTCGGCAGGCATTGCTGGGCTGGCTGCAGGGTATCAGCGGAGCTGGTACCTCCAAAGCAAGGCAGCTGGCTCCCTCTGCTGCTTTCAGCATGATTTGAGTTGTTTTAAACAACGAGCACTCGCGTCCTCTTGGTCCTGGAGGTTCAGTATCGTTGCGCCTTCTGGTTTTAATATGGTTTCCTTCCCTGGGAAGTAGCTACGAAGCTGTATGTTCCCCTTCTGCTTAAAATCTGTACAGACCTTTACAAAGATTAATATATGTATTTATAACCGAGAATCAAACTGTAATGTGGCAGCTAAGTATAAGCATTTTAGGTAAGACCTCCATAAAACCATAATTACACCCA